ATGCACGCACCACTTTTCCGTTATTTATTTGTTAGAATTTTTTGAAACAGTTTGTTTTTAAATTTCACTTCACCAATTTGGACTATTCTGTGTATGTCCATTAAATGAAATCCAAATAAAAATCCATTTAAATTACAGGTTGTAATGCAACAAAATAGGAAAAATGCCAAGGGGGATGAATATTTTTGCAAGGCACTGTACATAAGTATTCAGACCCTTTACTCAGTACTTTGTTTAAGCACCTTTGGCAGCGATTACGGCATCGTGTCTTCTTGGGTATGACGCTACAAGCTTGGCACACCTGTATTTGGGGAGTTTCTCCCATTCTTCTCTGCAGATCCTCTCAAGATCTGTCAGGTTGGATGGGGAGCATTGCTGCACAGCTATTTTCAGGTCTCTCCATAGATGTTCGATCAGGTTCAAGTCCGGGCTCTGGCTGGGCCACTCAAGGACATTCAGAAACTCGTCCCGAAGCCACTCCTGCGTTGTCTTGGCTGTGTGCTTAGGGTCGTTATACTGTTGGAAGGTGACCTTTGCCCCACTATTAGGTCCGGAGCGCTCTGGAGCAGGTTTTCATCAAGGATCTCTGTACTTTGCTCCGTTCATCTTTCCCTCGATCCTGACTAGTTTCCCAGTCCCTGCCGCTGAAAAACATCCCCCCAGCATGATACTGCCACCACCAAGCTTCACCGTAGGGATGGTGCCAGGTTTCCTCCAGACATGACACTTGGCATTCAGTCCAAAGAGTTAAATCTTGGTTTCATCAGACCAGAGAATCTTGTTTCTCATGGTCTGAGAGTCCTTCAGGTGCATTTTGGCTAACTCCAAGTGGGCTGTCATGTGCCTTTTACTGAGGAGTGGCTTCCATCTGGGCCACTCTACCATAAAGGCCTGATTAGTGGAGTGCTGCAAAGATGGTTGTCCTTCTGGAAGTTTCTCCCATCTCCACAGAGGAACTCTAGAGCTCTGTCAGAGTGACCATCGGCTTCTTGGTCACCTCCCTGACCAAGGCCCTTCTCCCCCGATTGCTCAGTTTGGCTGGGCAGCCAGCTCTAGGAAAAGTCTTGGTGGTTCCAAACTTCTTCCATTTAAGAACGATGGAGGCCACTGTGTTCTTGGGGACCTTCAATGCAGCAGAAATGTTTTGGTACCCTTCCCCAGAGCTGTGCCTCGACATAATCTTGTCTCAGAGCTCTACGGACAATTCCTTTGACCTCATGGCTTGGTTTTTGCTCTGACATGCACTGTCAACTGTGGAACCTTATATAGACAGGTGTGTGCCTTTCCAAATCATGTCCAATCAATTGAATTTACCACAGGTGGACTCCAATCAAGTTGTAGAAACATCTCAAGGATGATCATTGGAAACAGGATGCACCTGAGCTCAATTTCGAGTCTCATAGCAAAGGGTCTGAATACTTATGTAAATAAGTTATTTCAGTTTTTGTAAAAATGTCTACAAATCTGTTTTCACTTTGTCATTATGGGGTATTGTGTGTAGATTGCTGAGGACATTTTTTTATTTAATCAATTTTTGAATAAGGCTATAACGTAACAAAATGTGGAAAAAGTCAAGGGGTCTGAATACTTTCCAAATCACACTTTAGGGATGGGGACAGGACAGGATGTCAATGTGGGACACTGGATCAGTTTCCCGGATACAGATTAAGCCTAGTCCTGGACTAAAAAGCCTGCGATCATAGAACATATTTTCCTAATACATCTGTATTTTATATCTCACATAATGCAATCTGAAAGTGTTTGGAGGTTATTTTATATCACAATTTAAAAACTGTCTTATCAACATCCTTTTTGGCCTTCTCCAGAAACTCAGAGACAGAGAGCTCCTGTGGCACCATGCAGCTTAGACAAAGAGTGAAATAATGGCATTGACAAATAATAGTTATGTTGTTCCACAAATTATGCATGCACACTTCCACACATACATGGACAAACACACTAGCCTGGTCTCATAGACTAGACGTAACATAGTACATGTAATTCTGGAACACTCAAATTATTATGATATGTTACGTCTGGTATGGTTACATAAGACAGAAGGTTACTTAAGGCAAAAAAGAAAGTTGGGTGGTTGATCTGGGTGGATGGGTGGGCGTATAATGTGAACGTCAAAGACAAATTTGGCATTTTACCTAATTAGCTACTTTGCAACTACTTAACATGTTAGCTAAACCTTCCCCTTCCCCTAGCCCTAACCTTAACCTTTTAACGTAACTCCTAACCTTAACATTAACCTTAACCCCTAACCCCTAGCCAACATTAGCATCAACAAATTGTAATAAGTAAAATATCATACATTTTACAAAATCGTAACATATTGTACGAATTGTAATTCGTAACATATCATACGAAATGGAGGATCTACATCCACAAATTAATACATACCATATGAAACGTAACAGATCATACTAATTTGAGGGTCCTGGATTTACATTTACTATGTTAAGACTACCCCTGAGTCCAGGTTGAACACACATGCGTGCATGAATGCAGACAAACAACACACACAGTGGAATGTTTAGTAGAGTTTTACTCACCTCCTCAGCCCAGGCAGCCACCACAAGCAGGGCCAGAAGCATAGCCGTGGGAAACTGTTTTGAGTTGGAGGTGCTGGAGGTGCAGCCTATCTGACAAGGATAAAGAAATGCATGTTGGTGTCATAGCATGCTGCCTGCATATCTCTATATCTCTCTCTCTCTGGGGCTAGGCATAAGCTTCTCTTCCTTTACATAATTAAAAAAAAAATATGAACATCATACAGTGGACGCCTAAGCATATAGGCCTATGCATGCAATGCCCTGATGCATTTAGTTATCAAATCTCTGACAGCTGAACCGGGAGGTGGACAATTATTGTTTTAGGAAAGGAAAGAAAACAATAGGCTATAAGGTTTTGCATATGTTATACAAGGAATTGTGTTTTTGTAATTTGTTATAAGCTGTTTTTAAGGACATGTAAATGTGGCACATTTGGCCAATATGTTCATGGCCCTGGCTGTGTGGGTGGACAACCTAATGGGTTACGCACCAAATGCATGGCCGGTAAATTTCTCAAATGTCCGATAAATTAAAATCTTCCCAGTCACTTGTCAGGCACCAAATTTTCCTAACGGAAACCCTGATATATATATACTGAACAAAAATATAAACGCAACATGCAACAATTTCATTGATTTTACTGAGTTACATTTCATATGAGGAAATCAGTTAATTGAATAAATTAATCAGGCCCTAGTCTATGGATTTCACATGACTGGGAATACAGATATGCATCTGTTGGTCACAGATACCTTTTAAAAATGGGCCTCACAGTGGGCCTCAGGATCTCATCACGGTATTTTTGTGCATTCAAATTGCCATCGATAAAATGCAGTTGTGTTTGTTGTCCGTCGCTTATGCCTGCCCATACCATAACCCCACCGCCACCACGAGGCACTCTGATCACAACATTGACATCAGCAAACCGCTCGCCCACAAAACTGCACATTTTAGAGTGGTCTTTTATTGTCCCCAGCACAAGGTGCACCTGTATAAGGATCATGCTGTTTAATCAGATTATTGATATGCCACACCTGTCAGGTGGATGGATTATCTTGGCAAAGGAGAAATGCTCACTAACAGGGATGTAAACAAATTTGTGCACAAAATTTGAGAGATATAAGCTTTTTGTGCATATGGACAATTTCTGGGATCTTTTATTTCAGCTCATGAAACATGGGACCAACACTTTACATGTTGCATTTACATTTTTGTTCAGTATAGTATATACACTTAGTATACCAAACATTAGCAGTTCTTGACAAAAACTGGTGTGCCTGGCAACTACTACTATAGCCCTTTCAAAGGCTCTTAAATATTTTGTCTTGCCCATTTACCCTCTGAATGGCACATATACACAATCCAAGTCTCAATTGTCTAAAGGCTTTAAAATCCTTCTTTATCCTGTCTCCTCCCCTTCATCTACACTGATTGAAGTGACATGATTGAAGTGACATCAATAAGGGATCATAGCTTTCACCTGGTCAGTCTATGTCTTGGAAAGACATAATGTTTTGTAACTCAGTGTAAATAGTATAGGCTACAGGCTACAAAATAAACTTTCCAGTGACACTGACTCACCCAATGATAAAGATTAAACATAAACTACTTTGAAAAACAGTGCTGCTCGCTCAAAATCTCTCAAAAGTTGTTGAGAAAAAAATGGTTTGCTTCTACAGAAAGAATAGTCTTCTTTTCAGCAGTAGGAGTTTGTATTTTGAAATCTGTGAAAGGCAAACTGACAGCTGCAACCAACCATAGAAATATAATCCATACTGTAGATGGCAGTTCCCATTCAAATCAGGACTGGCAGCCATTGCTAGTGTACCCAAGAGTTTAACAGTCAACGTGCCAGGGTTATAGGTTCCAAAATCCTTCTATGTATTATATCAATGTCTTGAAGAATTTTGAAAAGAATAATGGGCAAATGTTGCACAATCCAGGTGTGGAAAGCTCTTAGAGACTTACCCAGAAAGACTCACAGCTGTAATCATTGCCAAAGGTGCTTATACAAAGTATTGACTCAGGGCTGTGAATACTTATATAAATGAGATATTTCCATATTTCTATTTTTTTTTTACACGCTACAGAGGGCTATATTGGTCGGCTAATACAGGATTAGCAAAGGCCCAGTGCACTACTTTTGTGAAAAACATTTATTTCCAAAATAATTAATAAAATGAATAATATATTTATTATATTATGATTTTTCAAGGGGTGCTGCAGCACTACTTCCCACACTATGATGTTTTATGATGACAGCGTCAACATGAGAGAGATGTTTGATGATGAGAGAGAAGCCAGAGAGATTCTCTTATCCTTGGAGAGCTACAGCAAATATGTTTTTAACAAGCCCACTCATTGTCCTATCTGTGGCTACAGCTTTAAATTTTTGAAAGGCTAGAAGGCGGTCAATCAATCCCACAACTCAATGCGGTGAAGATGGCGGCGGTCCTCGAAAGGAGTTTTATAGAGATATGTGGGTTTGAGAGGGAAACCCTACCAAGATTCCGGGAGATAACTGTAAACCTAGGTAAACCTTTATGAATATTAAAATATTGTTCCGCATTGTATTTACTGATATGAAAGGTTTTTGTGACAAACGCTGTAATGAGGTCGTGAGTGACTCACGATTAGCGCCGCTAACGCGCTAGCTAAATGGGTTAGTTAGCTAGCTAGCTACTGACATCATGCAGCTGGCATGTGGTCTGGGCTAATAAGCTAGCTAGCTAGCTAGCTAGCTAGCTAACAAGTAAGATAACGGTGTCCTCCAATTTATAGCTAGATACCCCGCTTATATACACCTTACGCCGAAATGATTGTAAATTATCCGTATCCTCGCGCATAAACAGTTTGTTAGCTACCGTTAGCTAGCTAACTAACCGCTTTTGACTACGGTCTGTAGTACTGTAGCGATGGCTTCCAGTTTCTGAAAGGCAATGTTAAACTTTTGGTTTTATATTGACATGTGTTCGTCCAGTCTAGGATATGTATAGCTAAATGCTTTTTTGATTCCTCATTCATTGACCGCTAACGTTAGCAACCTTTAGTTATTGGACACAGAAAGTTGTTGGTCAGTCTGGACTCTGGCACGGTCCCAACAAACCTAGCAAGTTGTTTAACCACCTGTCCGTGTCAGACCAAAACAGTTTGAGACTGTCAACAAGCAAAGCCACTATGCGACAGATTCTATTGGAACTGACCAGATGTCATGTATGGTTTCTCAACAGGTTTGAATGCTTTTCCTGGTGGTGTAAAATACCCAGACAGCGCAGGAGGCTTTCATTATGAGGAGAGTGGAAAGCTCCTGTCCATCACTAGCAACAGATGCATACACTGGTGAGTTGTGCTACATATGTATATAGGTAACTGCCAAAATAAAAGAAACACTTGAGTAAATGAGGGATCCAAAGTATATTGAAAGTTTTCACACAGGTGTGGTTCCTGAGTTAATTAATCAGTTAATATCCCATCATGTATAAAAATGGCCATTACTTTGGCTACCATGGCTAGAAGAAGAGATCTCTGACTTTGAAAGAGGGGTCTCAAAGGAGTATAGGGGGTTTAAAGGGTGTGTGTGTCTCAGTCACCAGATCTCAACCCAATTGAACCCATATTGGAGATTCTGGAGCGGTGCCTGAGACTGCGTTTTCCACCACCAATCACAAAATACCAAAATTATGGAATTTCCCATGGAAGAAGGGTGTCGCATCCCTCCATTAGAGCTCCAGACACTTGTAGAATCTTTGCCAAGGCGCATTGAAGCTGTTGTGGCGGCTCACAGTGGCACAACGCCTTATTATGACACTTTATGTTGGTGTGTATTTTGGCAGTTGTCTGAATGTTCTTATCATATACTTCTTCTGTTACTGTTCTCTCAGTTTTTTGTTCTTTTAAATCAACGCAGGTATGTTGTCAATTTATAGCCAGACTGTGTTCTATAGTCTTGCCAGACTCTGTCCTAGACCAGTCTTGGGGGACCACTGTACGTGACACGGGTTCTATCACACAGTTTCCAGACTGAGAAGCCGTATGATGCAGCTGGCACTGGCCCAGGCTAGCCATCATGTGTCAATACAGATTTAATTTGACATGTAAAACACACACAGCTTCCTGAGGCCTGTATTGGAATTGCTGTCTCATCTATGTCCTCTCTCCAGGTCCACCTCCGGGGACACAGTTCAGCTAGTAGAGCAGTCTCTGGACACCAACCTACTGAACAATGCTGTTAAACTCAAGATCACACACTGCCTCCTGCTGCCTGGAGGTGTACACATCCAGGAGACCCTCAACAATGTCATCATCCTCATTGTCACCAATCAGACCGTGCACCGGCTGGTGCTGCCACACCCCACACGCATGTACCGCAGTGTAAGTCCCTCTTTTTAGGAAGCTTCTGAACCATAATGCATGGAAAGTATGTCCGACGCAGGGGTGTAGTGGAGTGGGGAAAATGATTTGTGAGAAACATTCTATGTTTTTATTTGGTTGACAGTGCAGCACAACCCTAGGCCCTCCCTCAACACACTGTGTTGTAAGCAAACAAGAAAATGCACATCCAGAGGCGGCGCTTCTCGTGGCCGGTGATTTTAATGCAGGGAAACTTAAATCCATTTTACCTCATTTTTACCAGCATGTCACCTGTGCGACTAGAGGTGACAACTCTTGATCACCTTTACTCCACACACAGAAACGCTACAAGCAATAACTCAAACGGGAAGTACCAGTGACGTGCTCAATACGGAAGTGGTCAGATGAAGCGGATGCTAAGCTATAGGACTGTTTCGTTAGCACAGACTGGAATATGTTCTGGGATTAATCTGATAACATTGAGGAGTTTACCATATCGATCACCGGCTTCATTAATAAGTTCATCGACGATGTCGTTCCCACAATGACCGTACGTACATATCCCAACCAGAAGCCATGGATTACAGGCAACAGCTGCCGCTATCAAGGATAAGGATTAATCCAGACGCTTCTAAGGAATCCTGCTACGACCGCCGACGAGCCATTAAACAGGAACGCGTTAATACAGGACTAAGATCAAATCCTACTATGCCGGCTCTGACGCTCACAGATTACAAAGGGAAACCCAGCCATGAGCTGCCCAGTAACGTGAGCCTACCAGACAAGCTAAATGCCTTCTAAGCTCACTTTGAGGCTAGCAACACTGAACCATGCTTGAGAGCACCAGCTGTTCCGGACGACTGTGTGATCTCGCTCTCCGTAACCGATTTGAGTAAGACCTTTAAACAGGCTAACATTCACAAGGCTTCGGGGCCAGACTGAGTACCCTGACGCGTACTCGGATCATGCGCTGATCATCTTGCAAGTGTCTTCACTGACATTTCAACCTCTCCCTGACCCAGTCTATAATGCCTACATTTTTTTTGTAGGGTTGTCATAATACCCACATTTTTACTTCGATACCAGGTTTAGTATCACGATACAATCACTTAAATCGATACCACGGTAAAAAAAGAAGGCATATTAGCCAAAGTCACAGAATGGCACTTGATCCAGACGGATAAACTCAGCTACTGCTCTGTTCAATCATTGGTAATCATTTGAGTTCAATATGTCATAACATAATTTTTGTATGTAAATGATTTTCAGACAGCCATGTATGCATTCATTGTACAATCATAAAATCAATTTGACTTAGATTGGTAAAACTAACTGTATAACTTAATGGTAATAATTTGAGTGGTAAATCTCTTGATAAAATGGGTAAATTAAGACGTAGCCTAGGCCTATTCACAATACAGGTGAATGCATGTGTGTGTATGCATGCATTGAGTTATTGAGTTTCTTTTGGCTGATGTCATCTGTAGCCCCATGAAAATCTGTAACCCTTCCATTTGGGACTTATTTCATTGTGCTGATCAACAACATTTGCATAGAAGTAGCTTATTTTATAAAAGTGCGCGCTGTCTCTTTAACCAGTAATGTTGTCAATCACGAGGCAAGAGGGGGGCAGCCAGTTGGTGCCCTATTCACAGTCAGTTAGCTGAGGCGATAGATCATCTTTGGGAGAGATGAGCGGGAGAGAGACCAATTTTAAGTGAATTAAAAAGTGATGGTGGCAATCAGTTTTGAAATCAGCATATTTTGCATTATGGTTTGCATATTATCTCAAACAAAGTACTAGGGGTAGTGAATTGATGTTGGCTTCAGCTGTAAGCTAGAAAGGAAAGTTGGCCTACAAAGCTGAAAGCTACCGACATCTTGCATTATAAGGTGTTCTAGCCTGTATGGACATTGTTTTGAGAACAGTAATGAACAGTTTCAAAATTTCTACATGCTGTGTCGCATTATTCAAGTGTGTGACCTTCTGTGCAGCATGAGGGGAGGTAACATGATGCTGCCCAGACTCCAAGTGCAGGTTAAGTGGAGCAGGCACGTTGCTCTATAAGTGGGGAATTGGCTGCGCTGATAGACTTGATCCGTGAGACACATTTGACAGAAGTACCGAAACTAACAGATTTGAGTACCAAACTGTTTTTCATGTTCTAGTATCCAAAAGTACCGACGTTTTGGTATCCTGTTCAACACTAATTTCAAGCAGACCACAGTAGTACCTGTGCCCAAGAACGCCAAGGTAACCTGTCTAAATGACTACAGCCCCATAGCACTCACATCTGTAGCCATGAAATGGTTTGAGAGGCTGGTCATGGCTCACATCAACACAATCATCCCAGACGCCCTGTACCCACTCCAATTCGCATACTGCCCCAACAGGTCCACAGATGACACAATCTTTATTGCACTCCACGCTGCCCTCTCCCACCTGGATAAGAGGAACACCTATGTGAGAATGTTGTTCATTGACTACTGCTCAGCGTTAAACACCATAGTGCTCTCAAAGCTCAGGACCCAGGGACAGAAAACCTCCCTCTGCAATTGGATCTTGGACTTCCTGATGGGCCGTCCCCAGTTGGTGAGGGTAGGTAACAACAACCCATCCGCCACGCTGACCCTCTACACAGGGGACCCTCGGGGACGATGAGTCGGTCTATAGGGAGGAGGTTAGTGACCTGGCAATGTGGTGCCAGCCCAGGACAACAACCTCTCCCTCAACGTCAGCAAGACAAAGGAGCTGATCATGGACTACAGGAAACGGAGGGCCGAGCACGCCCCCATCCACATCAATGGGGCTGTAGTGGAGTGTACGGCCCAGTGCATCACTGGGGCAGAGCTCCCTGCCATCCTGGACCTCTATACCAGGCGGTGTCAGAGGAAGGCCTTAAAAATAGACTCCAGCAACCCAAGTCAGACTGTTCTCTCTGCTACCGCACGGCAAGCGGTACCAATGCACCAAGTCTGGAACCAATAGGACCCTGAACAGCTAAATAGTTAACCAACTAGCTACCCATATCTGCATTGATTCCCTTTGCACAAACTCTTGACTCATCACATTGCTACTGCTTATTATATCTATCCGTGTGAATCAAACCCACATCCCTGCCGGCCAAACCCTCCCCTACCTATATGTACATATCTATCTCAATTACCTTGTACCCCTGCACATCGATTCGGTACTGGTACCCTGTGTGTATATAGCTAAGTTATCGTTACTCATTGTGTATTTATTCCTCGTGTTATGTTTCGATTTTTCTCTCTGCATTGGTGAAAAGGGCCTGTAAGTAAGCATTTCCCGGTTAGTCTACACCTGTTTACGAAGCATGTGACAAATAACATTTGATTTGTATACAAATATGCTTTCTCCTTCCTCACCTCTCTTCTACAGGAGCTGGTGACAGAGCTCCAGATGCAATCCATCTTCACAGACGTGGGGAAGCTGAGTCTGCAGGACCCAGCCCACAGCGCAGTGATCCCCAGCCCCGTAGGCCAGACAGCAGGCCCCACTGCCTCAGCAGCCTGGCTCAGCCACCAGGGAGAGGCACACTATGCCCTGGCATCACCTGCTGGCGGCATCCTGGTCATCACACTGCCCCCACACGATACACAGGGTAGCGTGACCGTTCTGGAGCTGAAGAGGAGCTCTGTGATGCAGAGACTGGCTGGCTGGATGCCAACTGCAATCAGGTTAAAAATCATGTTGTTTTTGTCCATGAATAGGTTGAGTCTGGGTCCGTGCAATCGCCCCCATTGTGTAAACCAACCCTGGTTCTATTGTTTGTGTGTGTAACCCTCCCTGTGCTCCTGTGTCCCGTCCAGAGGTGAGCAGAGTCCTGGGGACTTGGCCCTGAGTCTGGCAGTAAGGGAACTGGAGGACGACACCTTCATTTTCGCTCTATGTCAGGACCATAAACTACGCATGTGGTCCTATAGGGTCAGTCCCACAGATACTGTTCTATTTAAGCCTGTGGTCAGTCTGCATTAGCAGCAGTTCAGAAGCATGCCTGTATGTTAAGTGCCAAGAAATGTCATTTAGAGGAAGGATGTTAAACTTAATATTTCATTTGGATGTAAAAGTAGGCCTAATTGATACATTTACATTTTAGTCAAATGATGTAAATGTAAATGTAAATTTAGCAGACGCTCTTATCCAGAGCGACTTACAGTTAGTGAGTGCATACATTTTTCATACTGGCCCCCCCGTGGGAAACGAACCCACAACCCTGGCGTTGCAAGCGCCATGCTCTACCAACTGAACTACAGGGGACTACAAAAGTTTTACCTACAAAAGTTTTTGCTAACATGGGATGTCCCTCCTTCATCTTCTCCCTCCCTCCCTCTACAGGACCAGGTGTGCCTGATGGAGACTGACATGTTGGAGTACATGCCAGCGTGCCGTGGCGTGAAGGGTTCCCCAGGGCAGGGCCATCGGCTGCGGCTAGCCTTCTCCTCCTCCACGGGGCTGTGTCTGGCCATATACCTGGCCGTACCTTCCAGGGGACAGTTCACTGTGCTGCAGCTGGTGGCAACCGACAACAACCGCTACAGCCTCGACCACATCTCCTCGCTGTTCGCCACACAGGTACGTGGAGGGAGGCGGGTTGATTCTGTTGGTGTGAGACAGAGAGTAGAGATGCTGTCTTTGGATATTCGTGTTTTTTTTTTTTTGCTGATGTGGCTGTAATGTGGTGTGTGTGTGTTAGGTATCTATCTATCTATGGTAATATTTTAGAAGGAAAATCTCATCAGTAATGGACTGTGTTTTTGACTGCTGACTTATCTCCTGTGTATTAATGTGTTCAGGAGACACTGGTGGACTTTGCGCTGACCTCCACAGACATCTGGGGCCTGTGGCTTGACGATACCAACCAGACCGTGGTGAAATACATCAACTTTGAACAGTGTGTATTACACTTTTAGATGATCCTTTGGATAGTGTAATGGACTCTTATGCTTATACGCTCAACGGCCAGTTTGTTAGGTACACCACCCCGTTCATAAAAATGGGTCGCTCCTACAGACAGTGAGTCACGTGGCTTGTTATATAAAGCAGGCAGACGGGCATCGCAGCATTCAATGAGAAAAACGACATAAGAGACTTTGAGGTATGATAGTCAGTGCCAGGCGCGCCGGATCCAGTATCTCAGAAATGTCCGCCCTCCTGGGCTTTTCACGCACCTCAGTGTCTAGGGTTTACTGAGAATGGTGCGACAAACAAAAAACATCCAGTCAGCGGTAGTCCTTTGGGCGAAAAAACTGCTTGTTGATGAGGTCGAAGAAGAATGGCAAGAATCGTGTAAGCTAACAGGCCGGTCACAAACAGACAAATAACAGTGTGTAGAACGGCATCTCGGAACGCACAACTCATCGATCCTTGTCACGGATGAGCTATTACAGCAGACGACTACACCGGGTTCCACTGCTATCGGCTAAAAACAAGAAGAAGTGGCTCCAGTGGGCACGCGATCACCAACACTGGACAATTGAGGAGTGGAAAAACAGCCTGGAATATGACTGAGTTCAGTTTATTTGAGTGGCCTGTGCAGTCCCCAGACCTCAACCCAATAGAGCATTGTTGGGATGAGATGGAACGGGCTGTTCGCAGCATGAATGTCCCGCCGTCCAATCTGCAGCAACTACGGAATGCTATCGCTTCAGCATGGACCAACTTCCCTGTGGAACGTATCTGACACCTTGTAAAATGCCCCAAAGATTTCAGGCTGTCCGGGAGGCAAATGGGGGGTCAGACCCGGTACTAGATGGGTGTACCTAATAAACTGGCTGAGTGTATATAAATATATCCAAAATAATATTATTTGGAGTGCTGTCATCTCACACACCTATATCTAACTTCCTTTATGTGTCTCAGTTCCACGGCAGGTCAGTGGAACCAGGTGTTTGTGCAGCCTGCCCCTGAGGAGGAGGTCCACATCGGAGCAGACCAGGACCCCAGGGTAAGACAACACCACATCATTCACCACTGACTTCAATTGTGATTTGAACTGATGAATCAGAATTTCCTGATTTGATGACATTGCCCTCTATCAATACATCATTGCAATTGATTAGGGATCATCGATAGAACAGCGCCGGAAGAAGATGGCTGCCGTTTTACAGCCCTCTAACCAATTGTACTATTATGTGTGTTTTTCCGCGTTATTTGTAATTTATTTTGTACATAATGTTTCTGCCATCGTCTCTTATAACCAAAGAGAGCTTCTGGATATCAGGACAGCGATTACTCACCTCGTATTGGACGAAGACTTTTTCTTCAACGAGGCGTTCGCGAAGGATATTCTACAGACACCCAACAAGGCCCAGATCCCCGTCATTCGCGTGAGGAAGAGACGGAGATATCGTGGACGCAGATCCGGGTGCCTTGTAAGGATCCGACGGCGAACGAGTAAACTGCCTCTCCCATCAATCCTATTAGCCAACGTTCAAGCTTTTGAGAATAAAATGGACGATTTAAGATTACGGTTATCCTACCAACGGGACATTAAAAACTGTAATATCTTATGTTTCACGGAGTCGTGGCTGAACGACAACAATGACAACATTCAGCTAGCAGGCTATACGCTACATCGGCAGGACAGAACGGCAGACTCTGGTAAGACAAGGGGCGGCGGTCTGTGTATATTTGTAAACAACAGCTGGTGCACAAAATCAAATACTAAGGAAGTCTCAAGGTTTTGCTCGCCTGAGGTAGAGTATCTTATGATAAGCTGTAGACCACACTATTTACCAAGAGAGTTTTCATCTATATTTTTCATAGCTGTCTATTTACCACCACAAACCAATGCTGGCATTAAGATTGCACTGAATGAGTTGTACAAGGCCATTAATCAACAGGAAAACGCTCATCCAGATGCAGCGCTCCTAGTAGCCGGGGACTTTAATGCAGGGAAACTTAAATCCGTTCTACCTCATTTCTACCAGCATGTTAAATGTGCAACCAGAGGGGAAAAAACTCTAGACCGCCTTTACTCAACACACAGAGACGCATACAAAGCTCTCCCTCGCCCTCCATTTGGCAAATCTGACCATAACTCTATCCTCCTGATTCCTGCTTATAAGCAAAAACAAGCAGGAAGCACCAGTGATTCGGCTAATAAAAAAGTGGTCAGATGACGCAGATGCTAAGCTACAGGACTGTTTTGCTAGCACAGACTGGAACATGTTCCGGGATTCTTCAGACAGCATTGAGGAGTACACCACATCAGTCACTGGCTTCATCAATAAGTGCATCGATGATGTCGTCCCCACAGTGACCGTACGTACATACCCCAACCAGAAGCCATGGATTACAGGAAACATCCGCACTGAGCTAAAGGGTAGAGCTGCCGCTTTCAAGGAACGGGACTCTAACCCGGACGCTTATAAGAAATCCCGCTATGACCTCCGACGAACCATCAAACAGGCAAAGAGTCAATACAGGTCTAAGATTGAATCATACTACACTGGCTCTGACGCTCGTCGGATGTGGCAGGGCTTGAAAACTATTACAGACTACAAAGGGAAGCACAGCCGCGAGCTGCCCAGTGACACAAGCCTACCAGACGAGCTAAACCACTTCTATGCTCGCTTCGAGGCAAGCAACACTGAAGCATGCATGAGAGCACCAGCTGTTCCGGACGACTGTGATCACGCTCTCCGTAGCCGATGTGAGTAAGACTTTTAAGCAGGTCAACATTCACAAGGCCGCAGGGCCAGACGGATTACCAGGACGTGTACTCCGAGCATGTGCTGACCAACTGGCAAGTGTCTTCACTGACATTTTCAACATGTCCCTGACTGAGTCTGTAATACCAACATGTTTCAAGCAGACCACCATAGTCCCCGTGCCCAAGAACTCTAAGATAACCTGCCTAAATGACTACCGACCCGTAGCACTGACGTCTGTAGCCAGGAAGTGCTTTGAAAGACTGGTCATGGCTCACATCAACAGCATAATCACAGAAACCCTAGACCCACTCCAATTTGCATACCGCCCCAACAGATCCACAGATGATGCAATCTCTATCGCACTCCACACTGCCCTTTCCCACCTGGACAAGAGGAACACCTACGTGAGAATGCTATTCATTGACTACAGCTCAGCATTCAACACCATAGTGCCCTCTAAGCTCATCACTAAGCTAAGGATCCTGGGACTAAACACCTCCCTCTGCAACTGGATCCTGGACTTCCTGACGGGCCGCCCCCAGGTGGTAAGGGTAGGTAACAACACATCTGCCACACTGATCCTCAACACGGGGGCCCCTCAAGGGTGCGTGCTCAGTCCCCTCCTGTACTCTCTGTTCACCCATGACTGCATGGCCAGGCACGACTCCAACACCATCATTAAGTTTGCCGACGACACAACAGTGGTAGGCCTGATCACCGACAACGATGAGACAGCCTATAGGGAGGAGGTCAGAGATCTGGCCGTGTGGTGCCAGGACAACAACCTCTCCCTCAACGTGACCAGACAAAGGAGATGATTGTGGACTACAGGAAAAAAAAGAGGACTGAGCACGCCCCCATTCTCATCGACGGGGCTGTAGTGGAACAGGTTGAGAGCTTCAAGTTCCTTGGTGTCCACATCACCAACAAACTATCATGGTCCAAACACACCAAGACAGTCGTGAAGAGGGCACGACAAAGCCTATTCCCCCTCAGGAGACTAAAAAGATTTGGCATGGGTCCTCAGATCCTCAAAAAATTCTACAGCTGCACCATCGAGAGCATCCTGACTGGTTGCATCACCGCCTGGTATGGCAACTGCTTGGCCTCTGACCGCAAGGCACTACAGAGGGTAGTGCGTACGGCCCAGTACATCACTGGGGCAAAGCTCCCTGCCATCCAGGACCTCTATACCAGGCGGTGTCAGAGGAAGGCCCTCAAAATTGTCAAAGACTCCAGCCACCCTAGTCATAGACTGTTCTCTCTGCTACCGCACGGCAAGCGGTACCGGAGTGCCAAGTCTAGGTCCAAAAGACTTCTCAACAGCTTCTACCCCCAAGCCATAAGACTCCTGAACAGCTAATCATGGCTACCCGGACTATTTGCACTGCCCCCCCACCCCATCCTTTTTACGCTGCTGCTACTCTGTTAAGTATTTATGCATAGTCACTTTAACTCTACCCACATGTACATATTACCTCAACTACCTCAACTAGCCGGTGCCCCCGCACATTGACTGCAACGGTACCCCCCTGTATATATAGCCTCCCTACTGTCACTTTATTTTACTGTATATATAGCCTCCCTACTGTCACTTTATTTTACTTCTGCTCTTTTTTTCTCAACACTTTTTTGTTGTTTTATTCTTACTTTTTTGTTTAAAATAAATGCACTGTTGGTTAAGGGCTGTAAGTAAGCATTTCACTGTAATGTCTGCACCTGTTGTATTCGGCGCATGTGACCAATAAAATTTGATTTGATTTGGGATGTATGGATTCACCGATACGCATTGGTCCCCGGTTCAAATGTTTAAGATATGAGTGCATCTGTCTGTGGGACTCCAAACCGATCCAAATGTAGCATGCATTGGTCAGAAAATCGATTAAAACGTTACGTATTGCCAGTTCAATTAAATTTTTTTCTCATACTACTTTTTTCTACCTTCTGAAAATACCTTTCACAACTGGTGCGTCCTCTCCTTCAGTGTCGAGTTAAGCATGTAACTGCATTAACGGTCATTGATCTACAAGTAAATTTGCATGCCGAACAACCCCAGGCAATATCAGTATCCTAGTCAATCTGCGCCCTGCGCAGCTTCACACGCTGACCAAAGACATCTTTTCCTGATCTTGCATATCTGCACGGCACCTTCAGCATTCAAATGCTGGTAAAATGGCTTGCGTAATATTAGGCATTATTAGTTTAGGGACAACCAATCTAATTTGCTAGGTTATTGTTATCAGATGCACTGTTTTACCGGAACAAAAGTAAGCTACTGGAGACAACTGCTGATCCGTGCTTACATTGTATTTTATTTTGATTGTTCAGGTTCACTATCAGCAATAGTTAGTGTTTTTTGCTTTAGGAGGAAGCGGTGCCACTGGCCGCCCCACCACGATATTGTTTTTGTTGCCGAGTTGAGGAGCGTTGCGCAGCGTGGCAAAAAAAGAATACCGTACATATTGTGCTCTTGTATCGCACGTGCAATGATGTCTGACGGGAGAAAACTGTTTGTTTGCAGTAACTTCTTTGTTGTAATATCGCAAATGGATATGGATTCCAGCTTTAAACAATCAGTCTATATGTAAATTTTTTTGATGTACAGGGGAAAGTTGATAACAAGAACAGCAATCACTTTCGTGAGCCGCACTGCATAGCCGACGTGGGAGAAGAAGCTCACTCCCTTAACTTCCAAACGTTGAAAACCATTTGGATTTTGAGACTGGGGTTAATTCAAAGTTGTGCAATATATTCATTGGCTATGTCATAGTTCAGTTTTAAAGATGGATATTGAGACAATACTAGCTCAAACACTTATAATCTGCAAACATGACAAGTTAATCAATGAGACATTGCCCCATCCCCATCTGATAGTGTGGTGGTCTCCCTTATGGCTCAGCTCGGGTGACTACATACACCATAGACGTGTACATAATTGACACAAATGCACACAGAGGAAGAGAAGTCAGTTCAGAGAGGCCCAGCTCATGAGCTCCATCAGCAACAGATTTTAATTTAGAAGGGGAAATTAATGTGTTTATGCAATAAATGTAAGTGCATCGTATAGCAGCGAACTGAATCGCATTGATTCGATCCTCTAATCAAACCGAATAGCACAGAATCGTTTCAAACTAAAGCGTGTCGTATCGGAGCCCATGTTTCTAGATACGAATCGAGTCATCTTGAAAGGGAAAGATCCACATCCCCACAATTTGATCTATCTCCAAAACAAGTATCCTCTTTTTCCATATTGTCACTATTGGGCCTCGCCACGTAAGAAAAACGGTACATTTTATAATCAAGCTAATTTGTCATCTCTCGCGTTATGACAGGAGACCTACCTGGACATGCTCTTCTCCCCCCTGAGATTCACTGCCTCTGCTATAGTCAAAGCCTTACAGATTTACAGGAGAGGCACCGAGCGAATTGCTGACATCCCCTGGGAGACCCTCAAGAAAGAAGTGACAATTGCTGTGGAGAATGAGGTAATTTATTCTCACTCTCTCCCTTTTTTCATCCCTTCTACTGACTTTTCTATCGACCGGTTTCTGCTGTGTTTCCAATATGTAGTCCTCTCTCTCCCCCGGTGTAGCTGCAGAGCAGTGTGACTGAGTTTGAGTTTAGCCAGGAAGAGTACAGGCAGCTGCAAGTGGAGTTCTGGTCCAAATTCTACGCCTGCTGTCTGCAGTACCAGGAGGCTCTGGCCACTCCGCTCGGCCTGCTGCTCAACCCACACACACACATGGTCTGTGTGCTCAAGAAGGTATGGGAAGGAGAGGCTCTCTTATACCTGTCTTGTTTATTTGATGTTTTCTGCATAGTTTCTTCAGGACCATATATTCCAAAAGGTACTAAGGGGACCCATTTTCTATTAAAAGTATTTTTCTGGATTTTCGTCAATCAGTGATTGACTGTGTGTTTATTGAAGGGCTTTGTGTCATTCCTGCTGCCCTGCTTTGCTGTGGACCACCTGTACCTGTCCTTTGATGAGTACCTGTTCTCAGAGGAGGAGACGCCTGTCACTGAAGGTAAAGACCTTTCTCCAAACCCTTTTCCTGTCTACTACTGAGCCATCTTTTTGTACTGCGGTGACGGGTCAGTTTTTTTATGTGATACAGTTGTGATGATTTGACTGTTATGTGCAGAAATAGTGCCGTGATTGGTCAAATTTGTAAGCCCTTGCATTATGCAGTATCGCGGTGGGACTGACTGGTTCTCTCATGCCTCTGTCTACTAGTTCTTTATGTATAGACCTAGTAGCCATTTTAGATCCAGAGGGCTCTTTACCCACTTGACTCACCGGGTATCTTTTTGTCAACTGTATTCAAAGTAGCCATTCTGGCTTAAAGTACCAAGTTGGTTTTGTTTCTTGTAAGGTAGACATTTTGGTTCTGTAACACCTCCCTAGACTCATCCTTTCCCCATTTGTTTGGTTATGTCTGCAATTTTGGCTCTTCAGGGCTCCCCACTGACCCCAGTTTCCCTTTTACGATGTTTCCCTATGGCCAGACCCTGAAGTTGGTCGTGACGTGCTGCAGCTGGTGCAGTGTCTGAGGTTGGTGAGTGACGCGGTGCCGGGGGACATGGCCTATGAGATGGAGAAGGCCCTGGAACATTTACAGTCACCTGAGAGGGCTGCAGAGATGGTGCTGGAGAACCTACTGGCCAATGACAAGTCAGTACTACACACAAACACACAGTTTACTTTTTGAAAATGCCTATGTACCGTCTATGGAAGTAAATTGAAAGTCAATTAATGAATTGAGAAATTCTCATTGAAAAATAATGGCCAAACTTCAATTCTCAATAATAGAATTTCAACCAACAAGCCTTCTTGACCTCCTATGGGTCATACACATTTAGGCATTGCTGTGTTATGTGGTGTTGTGTGACTGACCGTTATGCATTTTTCATTCCCATCGTAGTGAGAATGTGATCGAGGACATCCAGAACAAGCTGCAGGACATCCGTAACCCGGTGTCGGCCATGGCTGTACTGATCAGAGAGATGGACCTGGAGACTGACTCGGAGCCAGGAGGAGAGGGACCTCACACCACAGGTAAGACCTAGATCATATTATACCTACCACGCTATACCAATGTTAATATCTCAACACAGATTATCCCTACATAATGCTAAATGATGATTGTTTTATCCACCCTTACATTTTAGGGTCTATTGTTATTTGAGTAGAAACTTAAACTGAGTGCTGTTTGAGCTGTCTGTGTTCAAACTGCGGTCGGACATACTTCTAAATGAAAATCATCGGACTGGTTCAAGTGTAAACTGATGTGTGTTTTTACCTGTGTCTGGCTTGTGTGTCCCCCAGCAGGCCTGTCGGTGCGTATCAGTCTGTCCCAGCTGTATGGCAGCAGTGTGGCGGTGGCTGTAATCTGTCAGGCCGTCTGCCAGATGGCCATGACCAGAGCCCTGTTCTGTAGGGACCTGCTCATACTGCAGCAGCTCTACCTACGCCTCGGAGACAATGTACGTATACACACACTGCACAATCATACATACTGCAGCATGTAAACACGTGTTACAGTATTTCTTGACATTTGGACACATACCATAACCACTTTCAGCCGTTCACATCTCCAGCTACTCCTTTGACTTAAAACGTGTGTTTGTCTCTTTGCATGCATCTCTGGGTGTGTGTGTGTGTTTTCCAGGTGTTCCTGGCTGGTGGGAATCAGCTGCTCCAGTTACAACAGGACCTGATCCCCCGCTCCTCTCACCTGCTCTCCTCCTACTATCTCCTCAAACACATCAGTCAGAGCCTGGCCACGGCCGTGCCCCTCGACATCATGTACGTACACACACACACACACACACACACATGCTATACAGATACTACAGTCAGCTTATATGAGGGCCAAATTGTAGTTTCGGATTCCTCGTAGAAAATCAAGTAACATTTTAGTTTCCTTCTCCAGAGATGCCAACCTGCAGCACCTGTCAGTCTTGGAGCTGTCTGATTCTCCAGCCCTGGCCAGCAACAGATCAGGTGTGTTTGAGGGGATCACAGCAAGGCACAAAATTCACTAATCTTGATCGCATAATGTGTAGTTATTAGAAGTCTGACTGCAACGTAGTCGATCTCAAACATGGACTAAATCCTTTCCACCTCCCCCATTAGTGTTGAGCCCTCAGACGGTGGTGGAGCTGTTCTACCAGAGCGTAGCACGGAAGGCCATCATCACCCAGATCTACTCCCAGCAGCAGAGCACGGCCCCACTCCACTGGCCCCAAATGGTCTCCAGTGTGGTCACCCTGCTGGCTCAGCAACTGTATCCTCACACGCACCGATACGCTAAGCTAGCTCTAGAGTCAATATATGCTTTAGGCAAAGCTATTCTTTTTTTTTCTTAATTCTTTTTTTGGGGGGTAGATCAGCTTTAATACTGCAGATTGTAAGTTCCATCAATGTAATTGTCTGCATCACTTCCAATCCCCCATATGTTTTTTTTCTCATATATATATCCTTTATAAAATTGGAGTAAACTAGTGAACAACAACGCTTAGGCCTCTACTTCCAGCTTATAAACTCAGCAAAAAAAGAAACGTCCTGTCACTGTCAACTGCGTTTTATTTTAAGCAAACTTAACGTGTAAATATTTGTATGAACATAAGATTCAACAACTGAGACATAAACTGAACAAGTTTCACAGACGTGATTAACAGAAATTGAATAATATGTCCCTGAACAAAGGGGGTGGTCAAAATCCAAAGTAACAGTCAGTATCTGGTGTGGCCACCAGCTGCATTAAGTACTGCAGTGCATCTCCTCCTCATGGACTGCACCAGATTTGCCAGTTCTTGCTGTGAGATGTTACCCCACTCTTCCACCAAGGCACCTGCAAGTTCCCGGACATTTCTGGGGGGAATGGCCCTAGCCCTCACCCTCCGATCCAACAGGTCCCAGATGTGCTCAATGGGATTGAGATCCGGGTTCTTCGCTGGCCATGGCAGAACACTGACATTCCTGTCTTGCAGGAAATCATGCACAGAACGAGCAGTACGGCTGGTGGCATTGTCATGCTGGAGGGTCATGTCAGGATGAGCATGCAGGAAGGGTACCACATGAGGGAGGAGGATGTCTTCCCTGTAACGCACAGCGTTGAGATTGCCTGCAACGACAACAAGCTCAGTCCGATGATGCTGTGACACCGCCCCGGACCATGACGGACCATCCGCCTCCAAATCGATCCCGCTCCAGAGTACAGGCCTCGGTGTAACGCTCATTCCTTCGACGATAAACGCGAATCCGACCATTACCCCTGATGAGACAAACCCGTGACTTGTCAGTGAAGAGCACTTTTTGCCAGTCCTGTCTGGTCCAGCAACGGTGGGTTTGTGCCCATAGGCTACAAGCCCTCAGTCCAGCCTCTCTCAGCCTATTGCGGACAGTCTGAGCTCTGATGGAGGGATTGTGCGTTCCTGGTGTAACTCGGGCAGTTGTTGTTGGTATCCTGTACCTGTCCTGCAGGTGTGATGTTCGGATGTACCGATCCTGTGCAGGTGTTGTTACACGTGGTCTGCCACTGCGAGGACGATCAGCTGTCCGTCCTGTCTCCCTGTAGGGCTGTCTTAGGCGTCTCACAGTACGGACATTGCAATTTATTGCCCTGGCCACATCTGCAGTCCTCATGCCTCCTTTCAGCATGCCTAAGGCACGTTCACGCAGGGACCCTGGGCATCTTTCTTTTGGTGTTTTTCAGAGTCAGTAGAAAGGCCTCTTTTAGTGTCCTAAGGTTTCATAACTGTGACCTTAATTGCCTACCGTCTGTAAGCTGTTAGTGTCTTAACGACCGTTCCACAGGTGCATGTTCATTAATTGTTTATGGTTCATTGAACAAGCCTGGGAAACAGTGTTTAAATCCTTTACAATGAAGATCTGTGAAGTTATTTGGATTTTTACAAATTATCTTTGAAAGACATGGTCCTGAAAAAGAGACGTTTCTTTTTTTGCTGAGTTTACATACTATATACATTTTATGGACACAGTCAATTTTACAATAATTATATTTTGTTTGTTTTCACTCCTGAACTTCCTCTACCCTCAACCTCTCTGATCATTTTCATGATGTCCATCCAGTTTGCTTCTATATGCCATATCTTTCTAACTGTTTCACACAAGATCTCAACCTATATACTTATTATGGACACGGTATGCTTTACATTAGTTATCTTGTTGTTATTAGTCCCATCCTTCAGCTCCATTCAACACCTCCCATCTATCTCTTAACACCATCCATATTGGATTTCTATTTGCCATATATTTTAACTGTACTGTGATGTTTCACAAAAGTTCTGAACCCTTCTATTCTCATTGCTATTTTTATCCTCAAAAACAGCTGAGCTAGACCAGAGTTGATATGCTTTGTGCTAGGTTTTTCTTATATTTCACAGGCATTAGCATACGCTAGGCAAGTTTTGACTAACCTTTATGAGTTGCAGTGAGGTGTACTGTAGAGTGCCTTCGGAAAGTATTCAGACCCCTTTCCACATTTTGTTACGTTACAGCCTTATTCTAAAATTGATTAAATGTTTTTTTTCTTCATCTACACACAATACCCCATAATGACAAAGCAAAAACAGGTTAAAAAAAAGATATACACACACAGTGAGGGGGAAAAAGTATTTGATCCCCTGCTGATTTTGTACGTTTGCCCACTGACAAAGAAATGATCAGTGTATCATTTTAATGGTAGGTTTATTTGAACAGTGAGAGACAGAATAACAACAAAAAAATCCAGAAAAACGCATGTCAAAAATGTTATAAATTTGAAATGCATTTTAATGAGGGAAATAAGTATTTGACACCTCTGCAAAACATGACTTAGTACTTGGTGGCAAAACCCTTGTTGGCAATCAGAGGTCAGACGTTTCTTGTAGTTGGCCACCAGGTTTGCACACATCTCAGGAGGGATTTTGTTCCACTCCTCTTTGCAGATCTTCTCCAAGTCATTAAGGTTTCGAGGCTGACGTTTGGCAACTCGAACCTTCATCTCCCTCCACAGATTTTCTATGGGATTAAGGTCTGGAGACTGGCTAGGCCACTCCAGGACCTTAATGTGCTTCTTCTTGAGCCACTCCTTTGTTGCCTTGGCTGTGTGTTTTGGGTCATTGTCATGCTGGAATACTCATCCACGACCCATTTTCAATGCCCTGGCTGATGGAAGGAGGTTCTCACCCAAGATTTGACGGTACATGGCGCCGTCCATCGTCCCTTTGATGCGGTGAAGTTGTCCTGTCCCCTTAGCAGAAAAACACCCCCAAAGCATAATGTTTCCATCTCAATGTTTGACGGTGGGGATGGTGTTCTTGGGATCATAGGCAGCATTCCTCCTCCAAACACGGCGAGTTGAGTTGATGCCAAAGAGCTTGGTTTTGGTCTCATCTGACCACTACACTTTCACCCAGTTCTCCTCTGAATCATTCAGATGTTCATTGGCAAACTTCAGACGAGCATGTACAGTGGGGATAAAAAGTATTTAGTCAGCCACCAATTGTGCAAGTTCTCCCACTTAAAAAGATGAGAGGCCTGTAATTTTCATCATAGGTACACGTCAACTATGACAGACAAATTGAGAAAAAGAAATCCAGAAAATCACATTGTAGGATTTTTAATGAATTTATTTGCAAATTATGGTGGAAAATAAGTATTTGGTCACCTACAAACAAGCAAGATTTCTGGCTCTCACAGACCTGTAACTTATTTTTTAAGAGGCTCCTCTGTCCTCCACTCATTACCTGTATTAATGGCACATGTTTGAACTTGTTATCAGTATAAAAGACACCTGTCCACAACCTCAAACAGTCACACTCCAAACTCTACTATGGCCAAGACCAAAGAGCTGTCAAATGACACCAGAAACAAAATTGTAGACCTGCACCAGGCTGGGAAGACTGAATCTGCAATAGGTAAGCAGCTTGGTTTGAAGAAATCAACTGTGGGAGCAATTATTAAGAAATGGAAGACATACAAGACCACTGATAATCTCCCTCGATCTGGGGCTCCACGCAAGATCTTACCCCGTGGGGTCAAAATTATCACAAGAACGGTGAGCAAAAATCCCAGAACCACACGGGGGGACCTAGTGAATGACCTGCAGAGAGCTGGGACCAAAGTAACAAAGCCTACCATCAGTAACACACTACGCCGCCAGGGACTCAAATCCTGCATTGCCAGATGTGTCCCCCTGCTTAAGCCAGTACATGTCCAGGCCCGTCTGAAGAGTGCATTTGGATGATCTAGAAGAGGATTGGGAGAATGTCATGGTCAGATGAAACCAAAATAGAACTTTTTGATAAAAACTCAACTCGTCGTGTTTGGAGGACAAAGAATGCTGAGTTGCATCCAAAGAACACCATACCTACTGTGAAGCCTGGGGGTGGAAACAACATGCTTTGGGGCTGTTTTTCTGCAAAGGGACCAGGACAACTGATCCGTGTAAAGGAAAGAATGAATTGGGCCATGTATCGTGAGATTTTGAGTGAAAACCTCCTTCCATCAGCAAGGGCATTGAAGATGAAACGTGGCTGGGTCTTTCAGCATGACAATGATCCCAAACACACCTCCCGGGCAACGAAGGAGTGGCTTCGTAAGAAGCATTTCAAGGTCCTGGAGTGGCCTAGCCAGTCTCCAGATCTCAACACCATTAAATCTTTGCAGGGAGTTGAAAGTCTGTGTTGCCCAGCGACAGCCCCAAAACATCACTGCTCTAGAGGAGATCTGCATGGAGGAATAGGCCAAAATACCAGCAACAGTGTGTGAAAACCTTGTGAAAACGTTTGACCTGTGTCATTGCCAACAAAGGGTATATAACAAAGTATTGAGAAACTTTTGTTATTGACCAAATACTTATTTTCCACCATAATTTGCAAATAAATTCATTAAAAATCCTACAATGTGATTTTCTGGAATTTTTTTTCTCATTTTGTCTGTCATAGTTGACGTGTACCTATGATGAAAATTACAGGCCTCTCTCATCTTTTTAAGTGGGAGAACTTGCACAATTGGTGGCTGACTAAATACTTTTTTTCCCCACTGTATATGTGCTTTCTTGAGCAGGGGGACATTGCGTTCTCATGATCATTGCAACTCCACGAGGTGAGATCTTGCATGGAGCCCCAGGCCGAGGGAGATTGACAGTTCTTTTGTATTTCTTCCATTTGCGAATAATCGCACCAACTGTTGTCACCTTCTCACCAAGCTGCTTGGCGATGGTCTTGTAGCCCATTCCAGCCTTGTGTAGGTCTACAATCTTGTCCCTGACATCCTTGGAGAGCTCTTTGGTCTTGGCCATGGTGGAGAGTTTGGAATCTGATTGCTTCTGGACAGGTGTCTTTTATACAGGGGTGTGCTCCTCACTGTGTGTGTGTGTGTGTGTGTGTGTGTGTGTATATATATATATATATATATATATCTCAATTGTACGTAAGTATTCAGACCCTTTACTCAGTACTTTGTTGAAGCACCTTTGGCAGCGATTTACAGCATTGTCTTCTTGGGTATGACGCTACAAGTTTGGCACACCTGTATTTGGGAAGTTTCTCCCATTATTCTTTGCAGATCCTCTCAAGCTCTGTCAGGTTGGATGGGGAGTGTTGCTGCACAGCTATTTTCAGGTCTCTCCAGAGATGTTTTTTTTGGGTTCAAGTCCAGGCTCTGGCTGGGCCACTCAAGGACATTCAGAGACTTGTCCCAAAGCCACTCCTGCGTTGTCTTGGCTGTGTTCTTCTGTTGTTGTTGTCCTGTTGGAAGGTGAACATTCACCACAGTCTGGGTTCCTGAGCACTCTGGAGCAGGTTTTCATCAAGGATCGCTCTACTGTTCTCCGTTCATCTTTGCCTCGATCCTGACTAGTTTCCCAGTCCCTGCCGTTGAAAAACATCCTCACAGCATGATGCTGCCACCATGCTTCACCGTAGGGATGGTGCCAGGTTTCCTCCAGACGTGACGCTTGGCATTCAGGCTAAAGAGTTCAATCTTGGTTTCATCAGACCAGAGAATATGGTCTGAGAGTCTTTAGGTGCCTTTCGGCAAACTCCAAGCGGGCTGTCATGTGCCTTACTGAGGAGTGGCTTCCATCTGGCCACTATTATAAAGGCCTGATTGGTGTAGTGCTGCAGAGATGGTTGTCCTTCTGGAAGGTTCTCCCATCTCCACAGAGGAACTCTAGAGCTCTGTCAGAGTGACCATCGGGTTCTTGGTCACCTCAGTGACCAATAACCTTCTTCCCCGATTGCTCAGTTTGGCCAAGCGGTGGTTCCAAACTTCTTCCATTTAAGCATGATGGAGGCCACTGTGTTCTTGGGGACCTTCAATGATGCAGACATTTTTTGGTACCCTTCCCCAGATCTGTGCCTCGACGCAATCCTGTCCCCTGAGCTCTTCGGACAATTTCTTCGACCTCATGGCTTGGTTTTTGCTCTGACATGCACTGTCAACTGTGGGACCTTATCTAGACAGGTGTGTGTGCCTTTCCAAATCATGTCCAATCAATTGAATTTACCACAGATGAACTCCAAGTTGTAGAAACATCTCAAGGATGATCTATGGAAACCGGATGCACTTGAGCTCAATTTCGAGTCTCATAGCAAAGGGTCTGACTACTTATGTGAATAAGGTATTTGTGATTATTTTTTTTGGCTGAATAAATTTGCAAACATGTATAAAAAATGTTTTCACTTTGTATAAAAAATGTTTTCACTTTGTCATTATGGGGTATTATGTGTAGATTGCAAAAATGTGTATATATATATATTAATACATTTTAGAATAAGGCTGTAACAAAATGTGGAAAAAGTCAACTGGTCTGAATACTTTCCGAAGGCACTGTATATTATGGAAAAAGTTGTCCCTCAACACTATCTCTCTAGTTGGCCTAACAATCCAGGCTTCCAGTTCCCTGAATGTCTGATGGGCAACTGCCAGTACACACAACTACAGGTGAGACACTTCCCACAGACTCAGCGACCCTCTCACATAATATACTGAACAAAAACATAAATGCAAAATGCAACTATTTCAAAGGTTTTACAGTTCATATAAGGATATCAGTCAATTAAAATAAATAAATTAGGCCCAAATCTATGGATTTCACTGGGAATACAGATATGCATCTGTTGTGACCACCATTTGCCCCATGCAGTGTGACACATCTCCTTCGCGTAGTTGATCAGGCTGTTAATTGTGGAATGTTGTCCCACTCCTCTTCAATGGCTGTGCGAAGTTGCTGGATATTGGCGGCTACTTGAACACGCTGTCGTTCACATTGCTCCAGAGCATCCCAAACTGCCCAATGGGTGACATGTCTAGTGAGTATGCAGGCAATGGAAGAACAGTGACATTTTCTGTTTCCCCACACGACGCCATACGTTGTCTGCCATCTGCCCGGTACTGTTGAAAACGGGATTCATCCGGGAATAGCACACTGCCAGTGGCCATCGAAAGTGCGCATTTGCCCACTGAAGTAATTTTAGACGCAGAACTGCAGTCCGGTCATGACCCTGTTGAGGACGACGAGCACGCAGATGAGCTTCCTTTAGTTGGTTTCTGAAAGTTTGTGCAGAAATTATTCGGTTGTGCAAACCCACAGTTTCATCAGCTGTCCGGGTGGCTGGTCTCAGATGATCCCGCAGGTGAAGAAACCGGATGTGGAGGTCCTGGGCTGGCGTGGTTACACGTGGTCTGCGGTTGTGAGGCCGGTTGGACTTACTGCCAAATTCTCTAAAACTATGTTGGAGGCGGCTTATGGTAGAGAAATTAACATTCAATTATTTGGCGAAAGCTCTGGTGCACATTCCTGCAGTCAGAATGCCAGTTGCATGCTCCCTCAACTTGAGACATCTGTGGCATTGTGTTGTGTGACACAACTGCACATTTTAGTTGGCCTTTTATTGTCCCCAACACAAGGTGCACCTGTGTAATGATCATGCTATTTAATCAGCTTCTTGATATGCCACACCTGTTAGGTGGATGGATTATGGCAAAGGAGAAATGCACACTAACAGGGATGTAAACACATTTCTGTTATCTCTTATTTCAGCTCATGAAACATGGAACCAACACATACATGTTGCGGTTATATTTTTGTTAAGTGTAGTTATGTATGTTAGGTTGTCGTTTTTTCCCCCGACTGCCAGTTTCCCAATTCGAACAATAAAGATGTACAGTACCAATCAAAAGTTTGGACACACCTACTCATTCAAGGGTTTTTCTTTATTTTTACTATTTTCTACATTGTAGAATAATAGTGAAGACATCAAAACTATGAAATAATACATATGGAATAATGTGGTAACCAAAAAGGTGTTAAACAAATCGATGTTTTATATTTGAGATTTTTCAAAGTAGCCACCCTTTGCCTTGATGACAGCTTTGCAGACTTTGGCATTCTCTCAACCAGCTTCACCTGGAATGCTTTTCCAACAGTCTTGAAGGAGTTCCCACATATGCTGAGCATTTGTTGGCTGCTTTTCCTTCACTCTGTGGTCCAACTCATCCCAAACTATCTGAATTGGGTTGAGGTCGGGTGATTGTGGAGGCCTTGTCATCTGACGCAGCACTCCATCACACTCCTTCTTGGTCAAATAGCCCTTACACAGCCTGGAGGTGTGTTGGGTCATTTGTCCTGTTGAAAAACAAATGATAGTCCCACTAAGCACAAACCAGATGGGATGGCGTATCGCTGCAGAATGCTGTGGTATCCATGCTGGTTATGTGTGCCTTGAATTCTAAATAAATCACAGACAGTATCACCAGCAAAGCACCATCACACCACCTCCATGCTTCACGGTGGGAACCACACATGCAGAGATCATCCATTCACCTACTCTGCATCTCACCACTTCTTCTTATTGGTGTCCTTTTAGTAGTGGTTTCTTTGCAGCATTTCGACTGAAGGCCTGATTTCACGCAGCCTCCTCTGAACAGTTGATGTTGAGATGTGTTTGTTACTTGAACTCTGAAGCATTTATTTGGGCTGCAATTTCTGAGGCTGGTAACTAATTAACTTTTTCTCTGCAGCAGAGGTAACTCTGGGTCTTCCTATCCTGTGGTGGTCCTCATGAGAGCCAGTTTCATCATAGCACTTGATGGTTTTTGCAACTGCACTTGAAGAAACTTTCAAAGTTCTTAATTTTCCGTATTGACTGACCTTCATGTCTTAAAGTAATGATGGACTGTCGTTTCTCTTTGCTTATTTGAGCTGTTCTTGCCATAATATGGACTTGGGCTTTTACCAAATAGGGCCATCTTCTGTATACCCCCCCTACCTTGTCACAAAACAACTGATTGGCTCAAACGCATTAAGAAGGAAAGAGATTCCACAAACTAACTTTTAACAAGGCACACCTGTTAATTGTGTCGTGATGTGACTTTAACATTCATCTGAAGACTTATCTCTAACTATGTTTAATTGTTACCCAATTTAAATTAATCATGTAACAATTAACTCATTAGGATCTGGGGCACCACGAGAGCAGTTCTTTAAAGAGTTACCATCTCCCGACTTAACAGGTCTTTAGCTATCACATCTATAAACAGTAAATGTATTAATCATAACTTCGTATCATATCATTCTGAACGTCGCAACCTCCTTGCATCCGCAAACCCGAGCCTAACTTATGATTCAGTACTACACATTGGTTTATTTATTTACTAGCTAATTAAATGGGAACACAGGATAAACATACACACACACACTGCACCGGTTATTGACTGGAGAAAACAGGTCCCTAGCGGAATGACAACATACCTTGTTGTTAAAAAGAGGAGATGGAGAGGAAGAAAGAGCGGGACAGAGACACTTAACCTCGATACATTCAGAAACTACTCTCACCTACAGTAATTACATACTTGGCACACGAACCGCCGCCCGCTTTGAGTAAGAAATCATGAATGTATTTACGTGAAATGTCTTAGTTCGCCGGGGATCTCTCGGTGATTCGGGCCACCCAGGAAAGGGAATTGGGCCTTCTCGCGGCACGCTTGTAAGGCTTTGTTTGTCCAACCAGTTTCTAACAAGTCTGCTCCTGTTGTTCTCTTCGTAGTTGTCCGGTCTCCGATGACTTGTCGTGTAGTCCTGAACAGAACTACAGAGATTATTTTCCTTGCTTCTTTGAAGATAGGCTAGCCAGCTGCATCGATGATTCCCAGTGACCTTTCCTCACGTTTGATATTAAAAATATTGTACCAGTATTCGCTTTAGAACGTGTTAGCGTTTCGGTGGGAGAAGTCTGTGGAAACAAAGGCACATTCCTCTGGTAAACATTGGAGAGGGAGACCTGAATCTTCACTCCTTCATTTACAACCGGGCGTGAGGTGTCAACCCCCCACCAGTTCCCTCCTCCCCCCCCCTCCACGGGTGAGAGGGTCTGGTTGAAGTTATTCATTGCAAACCTTATCTGACCTATTTGGATCCTTACTGGATAGTCATGACAATTTAAATGCATTCCAGGTGACTACCTAGTGAAGCTGGTTGAGAGAATGCCAAGAGTGTGCAAAGCTGTCATCAACGCAAAGGGGTGGCTACTTTGAAGAATCTCAAATATAAAATATATTTTGATTAGTTTAACACTTTTTTTTTTTTTTTTTTTTTTTTTTTCTTTTTTTTTTGGTGGTTACTACATGATTCCGTATGTGTTAGTTCATAGTTTTGATGTCTTTTATTCTACAATGTAGAAACTAGTAAAAATAAAGAAAAACCCTAGAATGAATAGGTGTGTCCAAACTTTTGACTGGACTGAATGCATTGATTGAATCTCAAAGCAGATTTAACCTCTACGGGATCGGTGTCCCGTATTCGGGACGGTTGAGCTAATGTGATTAGCATGACTGTTGTAAGTTACAGCAAACTTTCCAGGACATAGACATGTCTAATATGGGCAGAAAGCTTAAATTCTTGTTAATCTAACTGTGCTGTCCAATTTACTGTAGCTATTACAGTGAAAAAAGACAATGCTATTGTTTGAGGAGAGTGCACAACAACAAACTTATCACGGCAACTGGTTTGATACATTCACCTCTGAAGGTAAATAATGTACTTACATTCAGTAATCTTGCTCTGTTTTGTCATCCTAAGGGTCCCAGAGATAAAATATAGCATAGTTTTGTTTGATAAAATCAATGTTTATATTCAAATGAAGGAACTTGGTTCTACAGATTGAACCCCTGCTGTCTGTCTCCACACCCACCCTGCCCGGCCATCTAGATGTGTGAAAGTTAGTGTAAAGCTAATGATCATGTATGACATTCCTGGGAGTGTGTAGACTTACCTTTTGTATTACCGTTTTTGTATGTTCTCTATAGTTATGTACTTGAAAATGTATCAATTGACCAATTCGGCACATTTGGGCAGACTTGATACAAAATAGTCCAGTATTGCAATGCTTCACTGGATCAAACTGAAACTTTGCACAGACACTGCTGCCATCTAGTGGGCAACATCTAAACTGCAATATTATATTGTGGCATTTCTCTTGCATTTCAAAGATGATGGAACAAAAAAAAAACATGTTTTTTGGTTTGTATTATCTTTTACCAGATCTAATGTGTTATTCTCCTACATTTCATTTCACATTTCCACAAACTTCCAAGTGTTTCCTTTCAAATGGTATCAAGAATATGCATATCCTTGCTTCAGGTGCTGAGCTACAGGCAGTTAGATTTTAGGCGAAAATTGAAAAAAGGGGTCCGATCCTTAAGAGGTTAATGAAAAATCCAACTAATGCATTTGAAATAGAATCCATTCTCACGCTCTCCTTTCTATCTCTCCAGGAGTATGTGCGTCTCATCGGGCCCTGGTGTCAGGTGAACGTGGGCTCCTGCCGCTTCATGCTGGGCCAGTGTTACCTGGCCAACGGAGAGGGACAGAAGGTGTGTATTTCTTTTAGTGCATTTGAGCATACCATTCTGAAATAACTTTATTGGAGGTTGTTTCTGTAGTTCTAAGGGCTGTAACTGTATCCTATGATTGATTCAACCCGTAGCATCAGTGCTTACTGTATCTGTTGTGTTCTAATCTCAATCATGTTTGTAGCCATGTGTTTTGACCCCCTGTCATTTTGTTTCACCAGGCACTGCAGTGTTTTCAGGAGGCAGCGACGGAGGTGGAGAAGGAGGAGTTTCTGCTGAGATTGACAGGAGCTGAAGAGGAGGAGGCTGCAGACGCCTCAAGACTACAGTACTACAACAAGGTTACTATGGATTAGTGTTGCACGGTATACTGAAACTTCGGTACTTTTTCGATACTAGAACATAAAAGGTTCGGTACAAGTATTTTTTTGTTGCTTCTGTCATGTGTCTTATGGATCAAGTCTGTATCAGCGATGTCCCCCTTATAGCATGAGCGCGTCATGCCTGCTCCACTTAATCTGCACTGGGAGTCTGGGCTGCATCATGTTACCTCCCCTCATGCTGCACAGAAGTTAACACACTTGAATAATGCGACACGGCATGTTGAAATTGTTTTGTAAAAGTAATTAACAATGTCCATACAAGCTAGGACACTTTACAATTCAAGAAGATAACAGTAGCTTCCAGCTTTGTAGGCTAACTGTCCTTGCTAGCTTACAGCTAAAGCTAACATCAATTCACTACCCCTAGTACCTTGTTTGTGATAATATGCAAACCATAATGCAAAATATGCTGATTTCAAAGCTAATATGCCTTCGGTATCGAAACAAAATTCTGGTATCGTGACAACGCTACTATTGATTGGAAACCCTTCTCTTTGATACACCAATGTGGATATGTGTGCAGGTTTAATTTAGTGTGTGTGTATTAGGTGCTGCGGTTACTGGAGGATGTTGGTCTACCAGAGCTGGTCATCCATCTAGCCACTCTGGCCATAACGGAGGCCGTCAACGACCCCAGGAGTCAGGCTGCCCTGTGGACCCGCATCTTCAAGCACCACCTGGACCTGGGACACAACAGCCAAGCCTACGAAGCCCTCACACAAAACCCTGACTCAGGCAGGCAGTTGGACTGTCTGCGTCAGCTGGTGGTGGTTCTTTGTGAACGCTCCCAACTTCAGGACCTGGTCCAGTTCTCCTACGTCAACCTGCACGACGAGGTACACACACACTTTCTCTTTACATTTGGTTAGAGGCCAGTAGATCACATTATAGACACGCTAGATAATTATATTAGATCAACGTTTTTGACCCTCCCCTTGTGTCCTTCTCTGGCTGCAGGTGGTGAGCATCATAGAGTCCAGAGCCAGAGCAGTGGACCTGATGTCCCACAACTACTACGAGCTGCTCTACGCCTTCCACATCAACAGACACAACTACAGGAAAGGTAAGAGGAGCCTGGGACTCTTTCTTTCAGCTAGTAGCTGTTTGAAAAGGAAGGTGATGGTATTTATTTTTAATCACTGTCCATTTTGTGTGTGTGTCCCTCTCTGTATGGTGTGTCTATATAACTCTGTTGTTCTCTCTTCTAGCGGGTACAGTGATGTTTGAGTACGGCATGCGTCTGGGCAGGGAGGTGAGGACACAGCTAGGTCTCCAGAAACAGGTTAACTGTTACCTGGCCTCTCTCAACTGTCTACGACTCATCAGACCTGACTACGCCTGGATCGTACAGCCGTCCTCTGGAGCTATGTATGAGAGGCCTGGCGCGTCACCAAAGAGGAACTACGATGGAGAGTTTGCTACTGGTCCAGGTGAGACTAGATACAATGGCCGTAGCTATTTCTCGTCTTTGTACTACTATTTGTTGGGTTGTGAAATGTGTATGACCGTGAAGTGATCTTGGTTCTGAAGTAGATGTTGGCTCTGATAATATTGTAATAGAGATGTCTGTGTGTCTGCAGTGAGCGGTCAGATAGACATCCTGGAGCTGAAGGACCTTCAGAAGGAGTACGCCCTGGCCCGTAGCCGCCTCACCTTGGCTCAGCACCACCCACCGTCCGCTGCCATCGCAGGTACAACACCTGACACAATATTCCTTAAAATGTATGAAAGGTACCATGCCACGGTGACATGTCAGTCAGTAAGCCATAATTAATTGTAGCCTTTGGCGCTTCTTTAAATTATCAATTAGAAAGGGGACCATTATTCCTGTAGGGCAACTAATCTCTTCACAACTCCCCAATCTAAATCCAGAAATCTAATACAGTACTGTGTGTGGGGTTGTAGGCAGTGCCTCTGCAGTGGAGATGGTGTCCCAGCTGGTTCAAACGGGACTGTTCGACTGTGCCCTCTCACTCTGCCAGACCTTCAAACTCTCCCTCACGCCTACCTTCGAGGGGCTCGCCTTCAAGTAAGTTGCTAGCTTCGTTAGGGCAGTCTGAACTGCACGGAGTGACTTGAATTTATACGGATATCTCTCGTTTACAATGCATGATTTACGTGAATACTCGTGTCAGGTTGGATGGGGAGCGTCACTGCACAGCTATTTTCAGGTCTCTCCAGAGATGTTTGATCGGGTTCAAGTCCGGGCTCTGGCTGGGCCACTCAAGGACATTCAGAGACTTGTCCTGAAGCCACTCCTGCGTTGTCTTGGCTGTGTGCTTAGGGTCGTTGTCCTGTTGGAAGGTGAACCTTCGCCCCAGTCTGAGGTCCTGAGCGCTCTGGAGCAGCTTTTCATCAAGGATCTCTGTACTTTTCTCTGTTCATCTTTCCCTCGATCCTGACTAGTCTCCTGTCCCTGCCACTGAAAAACATCCCCACAGCATGATGTTGCCACCACCATAGGGATGGTGCCAGGTTTCCTCCAGACGTGATGCTTGGCATTCAGGCCAAAGCGTTCAATCTTGGTTTCATCAGTCCAGAGAATCTTGTTTCTCATGGTCTGAGAGTCCTTTAGGTGCCTTTTGGCAAACTCCAAGCGGGCTGTCATGTGCCTTTTACTGAGGAGTGGCCTCCGCCTGGCCACTCTACCATAAAGGCCTGATTGGTGGAGTGCTGCAGAGATGGTTGTCCTTCTGGAAGGTTCTCCCATCTCCAGAGCTCTGTCAGTGACCATCAGGTTCTTGGTCCCCTCCCTGACCAAGGTCCTTCTCCCTCGATTGCTCAGTTTGCCCGGGCGGCCAGCTCTAGGAAGAGTCTTGGTGGTTCCAAACTTCTTCCATTTTAAGAATGATGGAGGCCACTGTGTTCTTGGGGACCTTCAATGCTGCAGACATTTTTTGGTACCCTTCCCCAGATCTGTGCCTCGACACAATCCTGTCTCGGAGCTCTACGGACAATTCCTTAGACCTCATTGCTTGGTTTTTGCTCTGATATGCACTGTCAACTGTGGGACCTTATATAGACAGGTGTGTGCTTGTCCAATCAATTGGATTAACCACAGGTGGACTCCAATGAAGTTGTAGAAACATCTCAAGGATGATCAATGGAAACGGGATGCACCTGAGCTCTATGTAAATGAGTAAAAATAATAATTACAAACCCAGTTTATGCTTTGTCATTTACATTTAACTCATTTAGCAGACGCTCTTATCCAGAGCGACTTACAGTTAGTTAGTTATATATATATTTTTTTTTTCATACCCCCGTGGGAACGAACCCCAACCCTGCGTTGCAAACGCCATGCTCTACCAACTGAGCTACACTCCTGCCGGTCATCCCCTCCCCTGCCCTGGACGACGCTGGTCCAATTGTGCGCCGCCCCATGGGTCTCCCGGTCATGACCGGCTATGACAGAGCCTGGATTCGAACCAGGATCTCTAGTGGCACAGCTAGCACTGCGATGCAGTGCCTTAGACCACTGCGCCACTCGGGGGGTATTATGTGGAGATTGTGGGAGGGAAAATGTAATTTTATCAATTTTAGAATAAGGCTGTAACGTAACAATATGTGAAATGTGTCAAAGGGTCTGAATACTTTCCGAATGCACTGTATTTAGTCTGTAGCAATCACCCCAAAGTAAGCAGTTGTGCCTTGTCTGAACTCACATACAGGGGTTTTCTTCCTGTTGGTTGATGGTGATGTTAGCTGTGTTTTTTGTTGTATTTATACAAAAATACACTATTTTTAGGTGTATAAAGTTACAGTATGGTGGAGAGGAGAGTCAGAATGAAGCCTGGAACTGGCTGGCTGCCAATCAGCTGTCTACCATCGTCACAACCAAAGAGTCAAGGTTGGTTGTTTAAATTTGACCACTTCATAGTTCAAATTGGCAGGGAATATTAAGAACAGTCAAATTGACCAATAAAGTTAAATTATAATACAGATGTACTTTTCCTTCACAGTGCGACTGATGAGGCGTGGCGCCTGCTGGCCTCCTACCTGGAGAAGCACCCTACCCAGAATGCTCAGCACCATCGCTGTGTGATCAACAAGCTGCTGTCACACGGCGTACCGCTGCCCGACTGGCTGGTCAACACCTACAAGGTGAGAGAGCACAGTATTTGTGCAAATGTTGTATGTATTAATATTGCACTAAATGCGACGATGCAAGACACATTTTCCTAAAATAATTCGATAGAGTCCGTAAATGTATATTTTCTAGTTGCATTTGCTCCCCCTGTATTATAACACAAGCCTGTTTGCTTAGGGGGTGGACGCTGCAGCGTTGTTAAGGCTCTACCTGAACTATGACCTGCTGGAGGCAGCAGCTGAGCTGGTGTTGGAGTACGTAGATGCTCTCATGGGGAAGGGACACCAGTACTTTGGCATCGAGGTACATTACAGCAGGGGTTCCCAAACTTTTTCACTCAGGCCCCCTTCCAGTATTGGGGAACATCCCGCAACCCCCTAGACATTTAAGACAAGTTATAAATAGCTCTCTCTAAGGTATGCAATGACTGACACGACAAGAGAAACTGATGATGCACTGCCCAATTTCATAATTGCACCTTGTGCATTCTACTATTACAACTTTCAAGAGCAAGCTGAAAGGCGGACTGAGTTCCTTAATTAACTTTTTTTTGGGGGGACCCCACATTACCGCATAAATCACTTGCAATGACTGCGGTGTGGTTGTTTTACCCATTTTGAGTTGAACACACTTGATTCTCATCTCTAGATTGAATTTAATCTCTTAAATAAGATTAAAGTCAAATGTTTGTCCTTTTTGTGTTTCTCTGAGATGGTAATGGTATGTGTGTGTTACAGAGGCCCCTCTCTGCCACAGCATCATTGGTGTGGCTCCCATACACTTCCATCGACCAGCTCCTTCAGGCGCTCAACGAGACCCAGACTAACGCCAGTGTAAGTCCATTTAAAATACTTTTTTAAAAAGCTGTTTGACAACCTATGCTGACATCAAACATGACTTTGTCCTCAGTTTAAATGTTAACACGCACCACCATGCTTCTCTCATGACTGTCCTCTCAGATACACAACAAACTGCAGGACAAGCTGAATGACTACCACAAACTGGTGGACCAGACAACAAGGCGAAGGCTCCAGGCCCAATCTTAATTAGTCTTAACTGTATTGGAGGAGAGAATGTGAGGAATCAAGGAAAGACTATCACTGCCCCTCCACATGGTGCGCTCACTGTTGCCATGACTCTCTGGAAGAAGATAAATACATCTATTTTTGTATTAAGGGTAAATTAAACACTTTGTATGAACTTCACCAGATTGTTTTGTGGCAGACATTATGTCGAGTTCAGGCCAAGAGGGCAAAGTCTCTTACCTGCTTGTTGCTTTTAAATGTACTGTATATGTTGTCTGAGTTCCAACTAACAATTCAAGGTGTTTTCACCTCTGGTGGCAATGTATATTTTTTTACATTATGTTGCCTGTGAACTTTTACAATCCTGTTTGTTGTAAAATGTAATGCAATTAAAGTTTTCCTTGGTATTGAGAGGTTGTCCTAAATGCCATTTTATTAGTACTTGAACACACTGAAAAGGTAGACTCAGCAACATGACACACAGTGGGGCAACTTCCTTAATCAACAAGAACCCTGCGTCCCAACTTCTCTGAATGTACGCAAGGAAGTATATTAAAATCTTACAAGACCACCACTATTGGCTCTTACCTAATCTAATGCCTCAAAGAGTAAAAATTGTGAAGAGCCAAGTAGCAGTTTTGAATTGTCATATTGCAGAGTCTAGCTTAAAAAGGCATCCCAATGTTCCTAGCAAGTAGAACTGTCGCCAGAATAATATTATATTTTAGGGCTGAGAGCCAAATTAGAACTGCACGGATAAATTATTTGCTAAAATATAATTGAGGGATATCAGACTTTGGATAGAGTACATGCCATACCTTCATATCTAGATAATCTAGGATTAAAAGTTAGGGGGGGGAAAGCGTTGATCAGCTAAATACATAAAAACAGAACAGACATTTATTGTGCCAGAATCTACTATACAGAAACATGTAGCGTACCATGTAATCCTCAGATACTGAAATTACAGCAGCATGTAGTGAATCATATAAAAAGGCTAAATGGAATGCTTTGTTCAGTAATACTGATTTGTACCGTAGGGGGGGTGTGGGTGAGGAGGAATGCAGTCCAGTCTTATTAACATAATAAACAACCCAATTGCACTGTAGAATGGGTGAAGGAGAAGAGGTATTATATTACCATAGGAATAAATTGGTATATGGCAAGTAAGTACCTATTTTGGTCTACCTGAATTCCCTTACAGGTAACCCCACACAACAATAAGTGTTTATCTCATTTAGGACCGCTTTCTGGAGTCTTCGCATTTCCAATGTCTGTGTTTATAACAAAGGCCCCTGTGTAGGCTGCCTTCACGTTCATATTTTTAAAAGGGGTTAATAGTAGAAAAAGGTGCCAGGAGGATCAGGTTAGAGTCAGACAGTGCTTTTGGTGGGCAGCTCTGTGCTGTTGTGCCGCGTTTTCCTCAACGACCCGTCGTCGTGCGGCCGAGCCTTCTGCAGGTTGGACATGGCAGCAGTGCGTTCGATGTCGATGAAGGCGTAGAGCTCGGTGCGGCGCGTGGGGGTGGTGGGCGGAGGCGGTGAGGTGGGCGTGTGGGGGTTGCTGGTGTCCGAGGAGGCACCCTTGGCTGCTGCGGAGGAAGAGGTGGTAGTTTCCATCTCCACCTCGATGTAGTTGAGTGTCTTGGGAGGCTCCTGACCCAGCGGCCGGCGGAAGTCGAAGTTGAACACGATGGGTCCTTCGCTGCGGCGGCGTGCCGTGTCGGGGGCACAGCGGGCGCTGAGGGGGGCCGTCACATTCTCTGTGTTGACGTAGTTGTGGGAGGGCTCCATGGCCGACAGAGGGGGGTGGGCTGACATGGGGTGGGAGTAGGAGTGGTGGAGGAGGCTGTGTTGGTGGTGGTGGTTGTAGCCGTTGAGGGAGGACATCTTTAGCCCCCCTTGGCCTCCTCCACCACAGGGTCCACCGTTGTTCTCCTCCTCGTTGCTGGGTTTGCGGGTTTCCCAGACGGGCGGCAGGGCCGGGAGGTTCTCGTAGTCCAGGAGGGCTGTGCGCCGCTGGGCTGAGTTGTTGACATTCTGCAGGGTGTCAGGGGTGAGGGGGGGCAGGAGATGGCGGCGAGGGGCTGTGGCTGGAGCCCCGACAGAGGCAGAAGAGCCGTTGGAGTGTGTGTAGGATGTCTGAGGCTGGCCCTCCGGTGGGGCTGGGGCCTCGGTGTCTGTGGGGCCGTTAGTCTCTCCCTCTCCAGGCTCCGGGGACTCCGAGTCCTCCTCTTCATCATCTCCATCCTCAGTCTGATGCTTCCCCTTGGCCATCTTTTTCTGCACAGGGGTGGGCCCCAGCACGAAGCGTACCCCCTGGGGCTCCAGCAGTACCTGGGGTTCTTCCTGGAGCTGGGCCAGGGGGGGTAGGGGCTCTGGTCTGGATACCCGCGGAGGAGGGGGTGTAGGGGGGCACTGGGACTGGGCTGAGCCAGGGCTGTCCAGAGGGGCTGGAGCAGTCAGAGGACTGGGCTGGTCATCCAGCAGGCCTGTGGTATTCACATACGTGTGGACCTGTGGACAGATCAGGAGACAGGGTTAATATAACATCCTTATCACACCAACTCAGCAGCTTCTACATAAACTCATTATTCCCCATCGACGTCACAAGTAGCACAGTGGAGGTCTTCTTTAGTCTAGGAGATCTCAAAATGTGCTCTACTGAACACGACCCAAACATTTGTATTGAGATGTCTTTATTTTATCAATAAAGCTATACGTGTTAAAAGTATTTCAGTGTGCAGGGCAGGCCTTATTCTATTCCCTCGTTCTCTCACCGCCTCGTCAGCCACTAGCAAGGGGTGTGTAGACTCCTCTCCCACGGAGGGCAGGCGGGTGCTGGCCACAGACGGGTGGCGTGTGGAGGGGTGCGAGGGGGCGTCGCCCACCGAAGGGATCCGGGTGACACCATTGTGCACGGTGGGAACAGAGTAGCCCAGAGCTGAATAGACATAAGGAAGAGAAGAACTGGGTTCAGTGGGGACTATGAAAGTGTTGACTGAAAGACAGATTTCAGCCTTTGTAGGAGTTATCTAACGAAGGAAGGCACAGTATTAAAGAGTTAGGTATTTGAGTGTGTGACAGCCATATGAGGCAATGGATATTCTAGGGACAGGAAAAGGCATTTCTCAGGTCATTGCAAGTGTTGGTAGAAGTATTCATTATGGCCTGTGCAAATTCTAGTTCTAGGATGAATATAGGCTTACCGGCAGGAGTGTGTGTGGCCTGGTGGTTGGTCTCCAGCACGGCCTCCTCCACCACACTGATGCTGTGGCTGTGCATCACCTCCTGCAGCATGTTGAAGATCTCCTCCGCCCGAGCACACTTAAAGGCAAAGATCCCTAAAGACACAGTCAAGAAAGTCAAAGCATTGTTGCGCTGCAGAGCTTATCAGAATGTTCATAATCTCAGGAATCACATATGGGCAGCACGACTGCAATATAGACAGATTGAGAAACAACCATTATCAGCACTGCTCACATCTTCACGTTTACAAAGGGTTTGTACATTTATTGGGTCTTTCAACTTTTCCTTGCCAACTATGCCCTTGTCTACCTTGTAATCAATGATCTAAAGGGACTGCCTAGGTGAACGCAACAGAGTGATAGAGATAAAAGGAAAAGGAAGCATAGTAACATGTCAAGAAGGAACACATAGGAACAACCATAGGTATGGCATCACATCAGGGACAAACTACACAGGAGACTAGTCACACTGCAAGGAAACACTGCACAATGCACAAAGAGAACAAACAGAACACACAACTATGGTAAACTTGTGCGACCAAACTGAAAACCCCAACTCCCCCAAGCACAACACCACACAGAGTCAGACACAGGCCTCAATAATGTCACCACAGAAATAGAATCACTAGAGTGGGCTTCCATTCCCGTATTTAAGTCATTATGGTTCTATTTCTATGACTAACATTACTGCTAATCACATTATTATATAATCATTATCACGGCATGGGAACACAGCGAGCCTGACTTACCAGAACCCCAGAACCCATAGTACCCCTCCCCCCAGACCTCATCCTTTTGAAAGCATGGATGGAGTCGAAAAATAACCACACAGACAATTGTGTCATTGGCATTGCAGCATAATCAATATTTCACTGGTTCAAGTCGATATAACAATAAAGCTGATGTTGGGGCCTAGTTGCAGATGTGATTCAATGTATTCTGATGTGTGTTTATCATGGTTCATGTTTGATTCACAACATTGTGTATTAGGCCTACATGTGATTTTATTGTGTGCCTGTATACCTTTTCAACAAATATCTTGATTAACACCCCCCCCCCCAAAGAAAAAAAAACACCACCCTTGCCTCTTGCACTAACACACACTTCTCTTTTCTTACTAGCACCGACTTTGCTGATATCTGCTTTATTGAGGAAATGTTTTGCTTACTATGACTGATATGTTGTTGTCTCGCCTAGCTCCCTTATGATTAACGCACTAACTATAAGTCGCTATGGATAAGAGCGTCTGCCAAATGACTAAAAGGTTCAAATGTATACTAATGCCCAGGCAGCTGAGGCACCACATAAGTTTGTTAGGTAGCCTAGCGGTTAAGAGAGTTGGGCCAGTAACCGAAAGGACGCTGGTTCGAATCCCAGAGCCGACTATGTGAAAAAGCTGTCGATGTGCCCCTGAGCAAGGCACTTAACCCTAATTGTTCCTTTAAGTCGCTCTGGATAAGCACGTCTGCTAAATGACGTCAATGTAAATGGTGCGACATACGCTGAGAATGGTCCTTGAAAATGACAAAATCAATTAATGAAATAAGTGAAATCAATAATTGTGTGGAACGGAAATCTCTATTAAATGTACCTTGTCCCGTCTGGCAGCGGCGGCCACTCTCGAAGGAGAAGAGGTTGGAGTCGTAGCCATAGCGACGCAAGCACAGGTAGGGCCACCTGACATCGTCACGGCGATGGGTGTGGAGGACCAGCTCGACCTCTGTCAGCTCCATCATGCCCGAGCCCAGCTCATTCCCATCGTCATCCACGTTTATCACCTGGCAACAGAACAATACCGTTACACAACAGTCACTGTGTCAGTCAACACAAACATGTCTACTCTGCAATGCATTGAAGCTGGTATTCATTATGAAACCAATATTTCCCTTTCATTCAGGTGGGAGGTCTACATATTTTGACGTCGCAAAATCTGTCATAACTAGGGCATGGAATGTGGGCTCGGCAATGGACCACCATTGAAGTATGATTGTTGTAACGGATCAAGAGACTCACCTTAAATTTGGTTTGATGATTATCTGGGATTGACTCCTTCTCTGGACAGCTTAAACAGCTACCCATGGCTTTTTCAGAGCACCATCTGTTGTCTGGAACATAAGGACATTTAAATTATATGAGCCAATAGTAATACAGTGAGTGAATGGACATCATAGGAAGAGTTGTAGCTACATTTGATTGATGTGAAAGTGACCATTCAAACTTTTTTAAAGAAGTGTTGTTGTTGTTTTTTTACCTAGATCCAGCCACCAGTATCCCTGGTTCCATCCTCCGAGGCTGAGGAGCACTCATGTTTTCTTTATCTGCTATGCCAACATAAGATGTGGGCCTGAACACAGATCATTTACAGTCAGCCAAGTTAGGTAGCTGGACGATCTAGTTTGTTATAAAACTGGAGTTAGTTAGCTAGCATTTGTGTCATGCAAGTTAAAAGGTTAACGTTAGCTACAATGGATGTAAATAAGCCAACATTAGCTAGTAAGGAAAGTTAACTTCGTTACAAGTTAGTTAACGTTAGCTAATTACGTTGGCTAACTCTAGAAATAGCTTTGGCCAAAGCATTATATACCGAATACAAGATTTTGGCTTAACTGGCTTTATTGATATTAAAATATATAGCTAACGTTATAGCTAGCTAGTTCATCAAATGGATAGTTAATGTTAACTAACGTTAGTAACTTAATCTCTTGGTCAGACATGGTTGACTAACTAACTAGCATTACCGTTAGCACGTTCATTACCCAATGGGATAACATTAGCTAACTACAGTAGCTAGCTCTCGTGAAATGCTAGCAGCCACGCTAGTTAGCTAGCTAATTAGTAAAAATATAGAATACACGTTGTCTTAGCTAACACATTTTTGGGATACTTACGAGTATGGCAAACGGATGTGGGCAGTTCTTCCAAACCTTTCAGACACAAACGATAGCAACCTAGCTAGCTAGCTCTGCTATCGCATATGAAGCTAGCGTTAGCTAGCTCAATTCCACCATCTTTCCTCTGCGTTGTTAGCTAACGTTACTAGAGCGCCAAAAAAAACAATCACAACTTCTTCCAAAGGTGGCTACCATTCATGTTTTCGAACCCAAGATAATAAAAATGGATATAAATCCATGTATAATCCTTTATGTCTCTCTCTATATATATATCCCCCCCCCCCCTAAAATTAGCTAGTTTATCTTAGTCGCACCGTCTTTTATGCAGCTAGCTGGCTAGGTAAATCACAGTAACTTCTTGGCTAAACTTCCGAGAGTTTGAGGCAAACATTTTCAATTTGGTGAATATGCGGCCTACTGCGCAGGCGCGAGGATGAGGGGGACTCTTGGGGCATCATCTCCCAAATCATGACTCCATAAGAAATGTATTATATGAATAAATAATTGTCAATTATATATTTTTTGTTATGTAAGTATTTTATTGAAACACTCAAATAATATATTAATGCCCTCGTCTTGATATGTTTATATGCCTACTTAGGCTGCAAAATGGGAAACTGCATACAGTAACTACTATAATTTGTGTAACGATTCACAGAATCGAATGCAACGCCAGGGTTGTGGGTTCGATTCCCACAGGGGGCTGGTATGAAAAATGTATGCAATCACTAACTGTAAGTCGCTCTGGATAAGAGCGTCTGCTAAATGACTAAATGGATAAGAGCGTCTGCTAAATGACTGAAATGTAAAATGTAAATGTGTGTGATTTGTAGTTCCATGACATGATGTTAAAATACATCAAATGATATGTTAAAATACATCAAATATACATCAAAATCATTATTATCTTACATAGGCTACATACAAATATGGATTACACAACATACACTGTGTGCTTTCATAACTCATATGATCATCCTTTTGCATGACTAAATGCTTTTCCAAATGTTATATTCAAGCGATATATCGCATGGGCTGTACAATATCTACAAATAAATGTATAATGAATTTATCTACATACATATTTAATATATTTTTGAATGAATTCAGTGCTTAAGAAAATAAGTGTAATTTCAAACAGAAAGCATTTTGTCTAACATTTGAGAAAAAAGTGACTTGTGAAAGATAAAATAGCCTATACATTTACTGTATATACTGTTAGATCATTTCTTATGCAGTATCAGATTTTTTACAGTTCTTTTTTTACAGGTTTTTGGTCTGTGCCATGTAATAATGTGCAAATGACAGCTTAACAAACAAAATGAAAACACTGTGTATGAAAGCCAATAACGCAAATTCAAAGCATATATACAAACACACAGATATAAGGCAAGTATATACAATTCTGTTAATATATATTCTGTTATAATTTAATAGCTATAAAGTGTTCTATATTTCATAATATCTGGTAAGAACAATCAACAGAAATAGTAGAACATTTTAATTGCCATGTATCCCTGCAGTGCTATTCTTGTGAAAGTACAAACAGTTTTCTCTCCTTCAGTAGTCCTTACAATCTTTAACGTCTGGCATACACCATATCTGTAGGCCAAAAACAAACAAAAAAGATAATTTGTGATGTCATCCAGCTATCCAACCTCCTAGATTTGTGTAGCTGCGTTTTGTGTTTGAAAGGGTTACTTGACTAGCCTGATCGTATAACTGTAAGTGTTATAGCCATCTCTACTATCGTTGCCATGTCATACACGTTTGCTATGCCAGGATCGTGGGTTCGATTCCCGGGACCACCCATATGTAAAATGCATGCACGCATGACTGTAAGACACTTTGGATAAAAGTGTCTGCTAATTGGCATATATAATATTATATTACTTTAACCCAGACAGGAGTTGGCTAAGCACAAACAGACTGGACCATGCACCAGGCTAATATTTGAAAGGATAGATCATCTGTGATGTCTTTCAGTTATGAACTACAATACAAAGAGTTCTAAGGAATGTGAGGGCTTACCACTTTGGGGGTCAGGGTTGACATTCTCATAGATGGGGTAGAGGGGGTTCTCCTGCTCACTGCGAAGCTTCCTGGCTCGGAGGACGTCTCTCATACACTGGTGGAGATATGCATACTGGCACTGTAAAGAAAATAAACATACCCAGATATATAAATGTCTCTACAGGATGTGTTATTACATAACACAGGTTCTGGAGTTCACACACAACTGCACATACACACAGAGTAACACAGAGTAAAACTCAAACTGTATCTCACACACATACACACACACCCGTCTCACCTCAGTTTGCACCATGTGTGAGCGGTGGAGGCGCAGGTCGAAGACAGCGCCGTAGATGTCTACTGTGTCCTTGGTGTCCAGCTGCTGCAGGACTCTGTCCAGGGTTATGAAGGTCCCTGTACGGCCCACACCAGCACTGTGACAGAGAGGAGAGGGAGAAGGAGCGGGAGAGGGAGAGGGAGACGGCGAGGGAGAGAGAGAGAACGAAAGAGAGACAGAGAGAGAGAGAGAGAGAGAGAGAGAGAGTGTGAAAGAACGATAGAGAGAGAGAGACAGACAGACAGAGAGAAAGAGGGTCGGAGGGCAAATACAGTTTAGTCACGTTACCTAAATGGAGAGGGGAAATATAATTTGGCTACATAATTTCAGTCAATTTCTTTTGAATTGAAATGGAATTGAACCCAACTCTGGTCATTACTGCATGCTGTAACTATACTGTCTCTTCAGGGAAGACAAGACACTATATCTCAGTGTGTCCTAGGGAGTTGTTTTTTTTTAATGCGGAGACTAGGGAGTTGGGACAGTGACCCACCTGCAGTGAGCCACAGTGGCCCCAGACCCAGGGGTCCTGTTGATGTAGTCCCTGACGGTCCTGACGAACTGGATGAGTGACTGAGTGGTCTCTGGGACGCCATGGTCGGGCCACACTGTGTAGTGGAACTGACGCACCACCCTGGAGTAGTTCAACTGGTCCTCCTGCATGGGAGTTAAGACACAGTCAGAAAGAGAGACTTGCTAGAGGCTGACTACACAGCTCGCTACTTACTTACTGTATGTGCTGTCACATAATGACACATCAAGAAAGTATTAGCTGAACCCAATTATGGTCATATTTCAACAGTGCTGGGGAAGCTACTCTGAAAATATAGTTTAACAAGCTACCAATTACTTCACACTGGAAGAAGTTAAGCTACACTAAAGCTACCCTTAAGAAAAAGTTTACTTAGCTAACTAAAGTTACTTAGAAAAAGTAGTTCACTACAACCAAACTACTTTGTGAAAATGTATCTTATATAAATCTGAAATGTCATAGACTACAAATTGCAAGAACAGATCACTTTAAGATCATATGTTAACAGAATGTGTAATTTTGCCTATTAAACACAAAACAACATATTTAAAGTGAGAATTAGGCAGGTCTGATACTGAAAAATTATGAAATTATTGCCTAATTCACCCATATTTTCTTGTCTTTTTGCAAAAGTAGTTAGCCACACCGCTACATGGCAAAATAAGTAATTAACTACTGAAAACACTACCTAGATTTGAATTTCGTTCAACTACCAACAAACTACTGCAAAATGTAGATCAATTACTAATTGAACTACATGTAGTATATTGTATATAAGGCCAACACACAATATATAACTTTACACAAAACAACCTAGTATTTTTAAAATCAGTTTCCAGAATCATTGTCCTGCACACTCACACTGCAAATCTTGAATTCCCGGATAGTCCACTCTGGCAGCACAGATTCAGACAGCATCTGGACTATGAGGTCTCCATAATACAGAGGTTCCTGGTCGAAGGGCCAGTAGTGATCACACTTCACCTGGAGGGACCACACAAAGACACATAGATAGTAACATTGTACTTGCACTAGTAACAACATTGTAATAACATGTTGTTCAATAGAACATGATAGCAGCTACTCCAAATGGACAACACTGGTCCGAACGAAGCAAAAAGGCAGCTCCTTCTACCCACCCTGCCTTTCTCCACACACTGGGTCACCATGACAATGTTATGGACATTCTGCTCCCACACCATCTTCCAGAAGTCATCTTTGGTTCCTGGAAGTGGGCCCTGAGTGGCGATGTACTCCCTACGGAAGTTGTTCCCCTGAAACAAGAAGAGATTTCATTTCGTTTTTAATCTCAAATCAAATCAAATCTTATTTGCCACATGCGCCGAATACAACAGGTGTAGACATTACAGTGAAATGTTTACTTACAAGCCCTTAACCAACAATGCAGTTTAAAGATTATTTAAAAAAAAGCAAATAATTAAAGAGCAGCAGTAAAATAAAATAACAGTAGGGAGATTATATACAGGGGGTACCGGTGCAGAGTCAATGTGCGGGGGCATCGGTTAGTCAACCTTATTACACTAGGTAAGTTTAATGGAGAAGCTGAAAAAGCTGCAAAGGATTGTCCGCCTTGTTACAGCCTTATGCTCCACAGGGAGTGTAGTAAGTAATTAATCCCATGAATACTAATTGAGGAATAGGGCTGAGAATCAATCAATCAGAGTAACTGAGTTTATGGCAGGGTTTGCCAAACGTGGGGTCGCCTGATTTGAAAATGGGGTCGCGAGAGAACATTTGCGCTTGGTTCATAGAACCGGGGTTACATTAGTAACCTCTGGTAGCCGCTAGAGGTGGTTGTAATGAACAGAGTGGTTTCTGTTTTCTTCCGACAAATGTGGCTCTATCTTTTGAATAGTTTAAGTAAGATACAAAATATTATGATCCCATCACTGAAAGATATGACTCTAAGGAACACGTATGTACGTACATACTGTTTCCCTCTACTATGCCCACAAGCTGTTAGAACCAGGCAGACAATACTAGGTACTAAATCAGACTGGGGGAAAAATAACATCTTTAATGAGTACGTTATTTTCTACAGAGAAGATCATACAACATTATTGCCTGATGACTTCCCAATACCTTTCTGATGCATTTCAGTCACTTCAAACCATACTGTCTTCAGATTGAAATACTGTAAAAAATACTGTCAGACTGATTTGTAATAGACTGTCATACCCAAATTCAAAAGGTAAACATTCATTACATAACTTTTTTTACATGGTGGGTAACTCAATAATTTAGATATAAAAATGGTGTCGCGGGCCAAAAAAGTTTGGGAACCACTGATTTATGCAGTACAGTCTTTGTTAACATTATACCCCTCTCCCCCCCCCGCACCCCTCCCAACCACCTCCAGCCCCCCAGCCATACCCCACCCCTCCCAACCACCTCCAGCCCCCCAGCCCTACCCCACCCCTCCCAACCACCTCTAGCCACCCACCCACACAACAGAGGGGATTTGACCAGAGTGAAGGTTGGTTCGGATTTGTCCGTTTGTTTGGATAACTTACAGGAATGTAGCTAGCGTTGATGTAGTCAGAGCACAGATCATCATCCACATAGGACAGCTTCACACGGGTCGAGTCGTCTACACAACACAGGCCGTGCACAAAGACATTGAGTTGGCAATTTAGTTGTCATATTGACAAGAAAGAAATCTCTCAATCCCCTTGTCTTTTGTCTATGTATTCAAACCCATGGTGAAATCCCATGATGCATCTAACTCACAGGGAAGGATGTTGTTGTATCGGTTCTTCCCTCTGTTCTCTGGCAGTAGGGCTGTGTCCAGGGGCTGATTCCTTCCTACGTCTTTCAGGTCCTTACACAGGAAGTGACACGTTAGGGTTACCAAAGATACCCACTGCACATAAATACTGTATGCATTTCATAAAATGTCACAATCAATCTACCATTTAAAAAACGTTAAATGAAAGGAGAGGTATCAGAGCAGGAAAAAGAATCTATACGTCTATATTGTTTTCTTTATTAAAGTAAAGTAAATAGGAATATTCCGACTTTATGTAAATGTACTCGTGATCGAGATTGCCCAACGGACAGTGAATGTGATCCAGTCTTACCTCGTACTCCTCAGACAGTAGATAATTGGAGTCAGCCTGGAGTTTGGTGTAATGGGACTCAAAGTGCATGATCTTGATGGGGCTGCAACAGGATCAACATATAAAAAGGTTGGAGTAAAACAGAGAGGAGCGAAAGACAAACCAAAACGAACTTACAGTAACTAATAACAAAAGCATTTAAAAAAATACCTGAAACACGTACTGAAAAAAGAGAACTTACAATTATGTAACTTAATAACAAATATACAAAAATACCTTAACGAT